AAAAAGACTGAAAATTTAGGTTCTACGAATATTTTTAAAAGAAAAATCAGAAAACAGGGGCCAAAATATAATTTTAGGAAGTTGTGCCACATCAGGTGCCCGGTTAGCAGGCCCAATGAATCAGGAAGCACTGCGTGGCAGCGGATGCTGATGCGGTGTCATGCAGGAGGCAACGCGGACGATCCGTATGCCCGCGATCAAACGGCCCAGATCCGTTCCCGCGCGCACGGACGATCCAGATGTGTTCTCTCCCCAAATACGATCGGACAGTTAGATTTGAACGCGATCGGACGGGCCAGAGTGGATCGCGATGGATGGTTCAGATTGAATCGCGATGAACGACCCATATTTCACTCTTTATTTAATTGCGATCGAACAGTTCAGATAAAACGCGATGGACGGTCCAGATCAAAAGCGAACGGATATAGTAACTCCCATCTATACAAAACCCTAACCCTAGCCGCTAGACCCCCTCGTTGGGGAAGAAGACTCGACCGCTGGAAGTACACCACCGCCACCCGTCGCCGCACTGGAGCTTTTTTCGACTGTCAAAAAAGGTAAAAAAAAAATTTTTGCTCGAAATTCAATTTTAAGCACACCCATGGTCAAATCAGAGTAAAAAAATCGGCCAATTGATCAAAAAACGTCGGCGAAACCCAGCGATACCGCCTTAGAAAATTTCACAAAATACCTCCGATGAGGCCCTTCCTGGTTCCCCTTATGTGTAATTTTTCTACCGTTGTGATCACCGTGTCCTTCTCTACAGGTTGACTAAAGCAAAATACTCGACCGCAATATGAGTCAGAGGAGCCGCGACACTGGAGAGCCCCGCCGCCGGTGAGTTTTGATTTTTTGGGCTAACCGAGACCCTTTAACGTATTTTCTCGCAGGGATCGATGCAGAATCGGTCGAAAACGGCCTAAAACAGCCGACCCAAGGTAGACTGCCGTTGCGGGCGGCGGCGGCGGCGCCGCCGCCAGAGCACGGGAGAGCCGCCGTGTCGAAATTCTAAAATTGGCCAAGTGGGCACCAGGACTGATTTTGGGTTTGTTTGAGATATTTGTAGGTACTATTAGCGCGTTTTAATTCCTGAAAAAAAAATTTAGGGAACCCGAGAATCACCCGTAGGCGCAGTCGAACAGCTTAGCTTTTCGAGTATCAAATCAAGTAAAGATCTCTCACCTTATTCTCTATCATAGAATTGAAGTTTAAATAAATAATAATATAGTATTTTATACGAATTTAATAAATGTGCATAATTAATTACAGATTGCTAATGGAGTCAAAATCAAAAATTGTTCTTTGTTGATTTCTGCTGATTTATTGTACAGTTTGAATGCATGTATTGCTATCTTACGTGATCATTGTTTAGTTGAAAATTTGAGATATACTTGTATTCCCTTATATATGTTCGTTTATTTGTGTGATTATGGTTGGTTTGGAAAATGGAGACTAACGGAAAACGAAAACATTGTGTGAGAAGATGAATAGATGAAGACGACAGTTTTACTGGATATCTTGAGAGATGGTGGACAGATCGGGTACATAGGGAACCCTACCGTGAACGTTGTCTCATATCGGATAGGGTATGGAGACATGATAATTTGGCACTCATACCGGACGGGGTATGGGACGGTCCGCTTCACCCTCACATCGGACAGGATATTGAACTTTAATAATTTGGTGCTCATACCGAACGGAGTATGGGGATAGCCCGTAATTGAGATTGTTAAAGGAAATGGTTCGCGTGTAGCAGGGACATCCTTATGAACCCTCATGAATACTACTAGGCTAATGAAAAAGTAATAGTTATTGTTTGATTTATTGACGATGTATATATAGGCTTGTTATATGTGTTATGTTGCTGATTTTACATGAAACTATGATCTATATGATATTATTGTCTGCATATGTTATTTTTATGAATCCCACTACGGTAAGTGAACGGTAAATAGTTTTATTTATGATAAATGAATTTATTTAAATTAAGTGCTCTATTAGTGTGTTGATTTTATACCAACATTTACTTCTGTATCGGTGATATAGTGTGATATCCTTACTGTGCCAGTGTAGCTCATCCCTTATTTAACCATTTCAGATCAAGAGAATCAGGTTCCAGAGCCCGATCTGCAAGAAGATTGCGAGTAGATGCTAGATTTCTTTATTTTCCGTTTATTTCCTTATTCTTATATTTCTTTCAAAAGAGTGAATTCAGTAACGGTGTTTGATATTTTGAGTTATTTGTGTAAGAAATGTAAACCCTGAACATTTATTTTGCTTTCGCACTTTAATTATCTTTTATTTCCTTTGGATATTTCCGGAGTCGTTACATATTTGATCTCAGAATAGTGTTTGACCTCCAAGAGGCACTTAACCTCTCGGGGACATTCGAATCATCGAGTCACTCGATCATATGTCATTTATAATCTTAACAAGTCATTACATTATAATGATAAATGAACAATAGGTTAGATAACATAATCTTGGCTAGCCCATTGCAATTGAGATAGACTCCATTTTAGGTGTTCAACAAGTCAATTCTTTGTAAGTGTGTCACCAATACTTTGAAATACGGTGTAAGGTGTTATCTTGAATCTCAATTATAAAGATCTATAGGAGCCTTCAAGTAAGATAGATCATTTGTTCTTTCCTCTCATTTAAGTTTTCTTTCACTTTTTTTTACTTACGTGTGAGAGTGAATGTGTCAGGAACTCTAACTTAATATTTTAAATATATTATTTGATGTAAATATTTAAAGAAAAATGTATTTATAGTCTTCAAAAAATCAATATCATCAATATTTTATACTTTTAAAATAACAAAATACAATATTACATATTAATTCAGTTAAAACTATTAATGATTATTAAATAATATGTTGTTATAATAGTTGTACACTTTAATAATAGAGCATATATGTCATTATACATTTAATAACTTATTTCATATGTTATTTTATTAGGTCTACAAGGGCTAGTAGGCTAACTTGCCTAAATTTATTTATCCATTAAATTAGCTCATATTTTGAATCTTTTTCACAGAAAATTATAAAAGAAAAAGTCATGTGTTTTAATTCATGATGAATCCAATCTTTGTGAAAAATGGAAAAGACTTTTGAGGATTTACTTTTCATGATAATTAAACTATTAAAATAAAATAAAACATCTTTATTTAAAGCTTATCGTCGAGAGAGTTATACACAAAATATAAATTTATTTTCACTTTTAACTCGTAATTTTTGCTTAGTGCATTTCTATAAGAATTAATTAATTTTCTTTATCATAAATTATCGGTAATAAAAAAACATCTTTATTATGATAAAATTAAAATAGAATAACGGTAAATTAAATAACAGTTAAATGAAATAAACTCTAGGTAACAAAAAGGAAGATTAATAGGTGATTATCAATGTCTACATGTCATGAATCATTGTGAATTAGCATCAAATTATAAATTTTATGTTCTTTATTGAAAAGTCATAATCTATTCCCCCAAAGAACAACTTGTAGTCGTTCATTTTAGTTTCAAGAATTCCATGTTACGCGTCGTCATGCAAATTGAACAACAATTGGGCTTGTAACAGTATGCTTAGTAGAAACCCATTTCAAGAATCCTTGAGAAAATGGAGTGCTAGAATTCCCAACTCTACTAAAAGTGACGGAGTACGTGGCCTTCTGGTTCACCTTCGTGAATCTAAGCTTAGCAATATCAATGGTGACTTTTACTCCCTCTGGTGCTGTAATTCGAGGAGAGTATGACGAGGATCCTGGGCTAACATTTGTTAATGTCCTCTTGTATGTCTGAGGAGCAGAACCTAATTGTATAGAGAAAGAAGGGTAATTAAGCTCCGCTTCAGGTATGCTTGTTGAACACGTCATTTTACGTTTCACGATGTTTGATACCTCAGCGTCACTGTAGCCTAATCCACACAGATATGGAATGTAATCATCAGGTTGAAGATCATAAACAAGCCCTGGGTTATTAGCTTTTGTGGGGTTAACATGGCCTGCACCAGTAGCATAGAGATTGGCTGGAAGCATGGTTTGATCATTAATGGGTTTGCCCCTAAGATTTAAGAGATCAGCAGTTGTCATCATTGCAGATTTTATGGCAGCAGGCGACCAGTCTGGGTGTGAGCTTTTGAGCAAAGCAGCAATACCACTGAGATGAGGGCAAGACATTGAAGTCCCAGAAATGATGTTGAAGGTTGATTTGGTAGTGGTGTTCTTTTCTAAGGAAACTGGCCATGCAGCTAGAATGCTCACACCAGGACCAATAATGTCTGGCTTTAAAATCCCATTACTAGCTCCGCTTGGGCCTCTTGACGAGAAAGAAGTAACTTCAAGAGCTCTTCCCTTGCCAATAATAGTTCCTTTGAACAAGATTGTGGCTGTTGGTTTTGATGTTGAGTTTATATAGGCTTTGATGCTTGTTCCTGCTGCGTAACTCACATGAGCCGCAGGAAGAAGATGAGCATCGGCTAATGTACTATAAGCATTAAGTTCGTCGTTCATGAGAATCATGCCAACGCCTCCATTGTCCTTCACTTCTTGGCCTTTGTCACCTCTTCCTACACCGCCTCCCCTCTCACACAACACTACCTTGCCTCTAACATCAAATTTTTTAAGTGATTCAGGAGCACAAAATATAGCTGATTTGTCACCATTTGCTCCTGGATAAATAAGAGACCGTAACTTTGAACGAAATTCTTTAGGCTGGTAAATTGATTCCCCATCAAAAGTTTTTCCGTTTCCAAGTTTTACAGTTGTTCTGATGCTTCTGTCAATGGTGCTTGCTCCTACGGTAAGGATCCATGGTGCTTCATTTGATAGAGTACCAAACTGAGGGCCTTCGTTACCAGCTGAACAACTCACAAAAATTCCCTTTTGGGTAGCTCGGAAAGCACCCATTGCAATGTTATCTGCAAAGAAAGGCATGGAACCACCACCAAGTGAAAGCGAAAGCACGTCGACACCATCACCTATGGCAGTATCCATTGCCCCCAAGATGCTACTTTCACGACAGCCAAATACGCCACAAACTTTATATATAGCCAAGTGAGCCAAAGGCGCCATGCCAACTGCTGTTCCACTGGCCTGACCAAACACATTAGCACCCTTCACATAGTTTCCAGCAGCTGTGCTAGCTGTGTGTGTTCCGTGTCCTTCCTCATCCACTGGTGGGCTACTCGATTCAAAATTTCTTGCACCAATCAACTTGTTGTTGCAGGCGGTCCCATTAAGTTCACATTTTCCTTTCCACTTTGCAGGTGGAGGGGGTAATCCTTCATCGTTAAATGAAGGATGCCAAGCTGTAACTCCAGTGTCTAGAACACCTATTATCACTCCTTTACCATAATTTGAATGTCTCCAAAATCCCGATCCTTGTTTCAACCCCAAGAATTTTGGACTATGAGTGGTGTGCAAAGAATAAATCTTTTCAGGTCGAACTGACAGAATCCCTTTTTCTCTTTTCAGGGCTTCAGCTTCTTCTGCCGTCAATTTTACAGCAAACCCAGTGAATACAGTCTTGTATGAATAGACGATACGTTGTTGTTGTTCTTGGCCTGCGCTTGAAGTAGTCATTGGTAGAAACGATGTATACCATCTTCCCAAGTTTGGCACTGTACGAGAACCACCTTCTGGTTCCTCCACATGCACAATGTAAGTTGTTAAATCATTTTGCTCATCTTTTATACTAGCTGCTGCCAGTTTTCTTTCTTGAGCATTATGAGAAGCAAACACACAATTGAGGCTAACAAAAAGCATAGCCACCAAGATAAAAAGGATTCTATACTTGTCCCTCTCCATTGTTGTAGAAATATTTATATATGTATAAAGAAGGAGAGGAGAGGAGAGTTAGAATGCATAGACACACAAAAGCAACACATATATATACATATAGAAATAAGGAGATTGGAATAAAAAGCGGCATCTTGTTAGGATTCGTTTAAGAAACATGACGTATTCTGATCTGGGTTGAGCTTGAAGCCAACAGGGTCTTGTCTCCCAACCAGTCGTCTGCATGGTTTTTGTTTTGTCATTGACTAATTCTGGTGTCGACCAACGAATTAAGTTAAAAAGAACACAACTCTAAACGTCGTAATCCAATTACCATCCTTCAATATTATGTTAACTGGTTAGTTTTAATACTAATATTACATGCGGGTTATGTATCATATTAGCTGTTTTAACTATTAATGTAACATTAAGTTAAAGTAAAAAATAAAAGGTTGAAATATATTTGTCAAACAAACTGAAAGGCAAAAAGAATCAACCCTTTTTAATGACACTCCTGGAATTTAAAACTCAGTACCCTTTTATTCCTTATAGAATTTCAATCCTCATTTCATAAATTTCTTCCTGGGCAAACCCAATTTCAAATATCACCCATAAAATTAATAAATTAATGTTTTTATTAATTTAAATCATTATTTTTTATAAAATATTTAAATATAAATTAATTAACTTTTAGTTTTTTATTAATTTAAAAGTATTCATATAAGTATAGTAGTCACATTTATTAATTCATCAAAATAAGTAAATACATTCATATATGAAATTATAACATAATTCTACTATGATATAGTATAAAATATTAAAATATTTTTAAAAGTATACGTAACTTAATAAGTTTAGATGTGGTTTAAAGTTTAAAAGATATTTACTTTTTTAAAAAAATATTATAAATTATATTAACTTTTGTAAAATTTTGTTTTATTGATATCAATTTTTTTTTTTTCAAAAAAAAAAAAGAGATATTAAGTTTAACAGGCGTTTGTCAAGGCTAAATTAGTCATTTTATACATAACAATCTTTATTTCCTTTTTTTTTTTTTTTGGTCCAATTCTCTTCTCGTGCAAGGGAAAACCAGAAAAATGGTGGCATTTCTCAGGTCAGTCTGCACAACAGCAGCAGCATCAGCCATAGCAGCAGCATCTGCCCTTCCTGCGACCTTTCCTCTCTCTTCTTCTTCTCATCAAAACCCCAAATTCCAAAATCACTCTTTTCCCTCTCTTCATACCTCATCGCTTCTCTCCTCGCCCAATCGCCTCCGCCTTGTACGGAACTTCACCAACCCCTCCAAACCTCTCCCCATGGACGTGCCCACGTCTGATCACAAATCATCTCCCTCTCAGGTTGGATATATGGGCTAACACTCTCGTGTAAAGTTTTCTATTTCTCTTTTTTAATGAGGTTTGACATTGAATTTTGGATCCTCCTTTTTTTTTTTTTCTTAATTTTCAGGATTCAGCTGTCTCGCCTGAACTACTGGTAAGTTGGTTCTTTTTTCTCGCTGTGTTTTGGATTTGATTTTGGCGTCAACTCAGCTAATTTTGTATTCAACCTGAAATGGTGATTCCGTTAGTTGGGATTCTTGTATGTGATTTCGAAAATGATATGAGTTTTGGCATAATTTCAAGTGACTCAACTTGGCTTATGTAACAATTTGTTGTTTTTATATATGAATTTAGTTGGTTTTATTACTTTTTTAACCCTTATGTTTTTGTTTGTTGCGTTCAATTTGTATCTATAATGGATTCTGTTAACAAGTGAAATTTTAATTTGGATTTGCTCTCAGACGGAGTTCATGGTGGATATGAAGTGCGAGAATTGTGTTAATGCTGTCAAGAATAAGTTACAGAGTGTTGATGGTATGATATTAACTTGAATTCGTATATAACCAGTTAATGAGGTTTTGACAGAAACTTCTCCTACTGTTTCCCTGAGTTAATTTTATGCTTTTATTTTCCATTTGATCGATATATATATATATCTATATGTATATACAGGGATAAAAAATGTAGATGTGGATTTGGGTAACCAAGTTGTCAGAATTCTGGGTTCTTCTGCTGTTAAGACCATGACTGAAGCACTGGAGCAGACTGGTAGAAAAGCCCGATTAATTGGCCAAGGCGTGCCTGAAGGTTGATTTTTCAGACCCAAGATTTGCTTTTTCTTCATCATTACAGCTTCTTCTCAATAGCAGTAAGCTGGTTTGTGACTGTTCTGCTTATATCAGCTTAGAATTTATTGCGGCAAGATTGTCCTAAATGCTCTGAAAAATTTTGCATACAGTTTACACTTTCTAAGTCTTTGCTCGTTGGAGCTCTGTTGTGAGTTCTAAATCACTAATACTTCCGGGAACTTGATCATCGAGATAGTTCCCTGCCACTATCTAGCTTAGTTACACAAGTAAGCTTGTACAGCAAAAGCAAGTTGTTCCTTTGTGACACACTTTAGACGGGGTTATCTTTGAAGTCTTCTTACAGAAATTAAAGTCTTTAAAGCACACCTTTATGACAAACACCTTGAAGTGCATTTTTCTTCTTCTTTTTGGTATAGTTGTAGTAGTTTTAGTTAGGGTCTAAATATTGTTGGTTTTTTATGTGTTTACCCTTTCTTGTCCTTTGCAGATTTCTTAATTTCTGCTGCTGTTGCTGAATTTAAAGGTCCAGATATCTTTGGTGTGGTTCGCTTTGCTCAAGTGAGTATGGAATTGGCTAAGATTGAAGCCATTTTTAGTGGATTATCGCCAGGAAAACATGGTTGGTCTATCAATGAATTCGGTGATCTTACAAGAGGTGCTGCCAGCACAGGGAAAATATTCAATCCAAATGACCAAGAGAAAGAGGTTTTTTCTAGATATCCTATCTCCTGTTGTAACAATTACTAATCTTTCCATAAAAATTGCCTACTGACTAGTAATCTCACCTTATTGAGTGTTAAAGACTTTGATACTATTATTACCTCATGCTTTCCCCATGAAGAATGTCAGGTTCTATACTTCATGCAATAACTAACTCTTGCTTGTCAAATGTTGAACATGATAACAATCCTTGAAAAAAGGTTCTACTTGTTTAATGGAGATTAAAGTTATGTGGCCTGTTTACATGTCATTTATACAGTGATTTTTTCTAATTAGAAAGGGAAGTTTTACGAGCCTAGGAAGCACGATTACAGTTTTCTATATATTATTAGGTCAAGTCTTCTTATGTGTAAGGAAATCAGTGTATTTATCCTCATTCCACGGGAATTTGTTCATGTCTGATTTATTTGAGAATATATGCATGATCTTTCAAGGAGAAATGTTACATGTTTGTGGATTTATTTTAATATGAACATATCAGTATATCTTCAAAAATGAAGAGCGAAAAGAAAACTACGTATGTCAGGATCCAATGAATAAACAACTTATATCTGGCTAGATGAATAAACTATTTAGAATTAGATGATCTTCTTATTTCTAAGTATCTGCGTAACAAAATAAACATTCTTTTAGTGGAGAATTTAATGAGATTCTCTGTAGTAGTTGCAGAACTGTGAAATTCAAATAGGGTATCCTGTCACCTCCTCCTTCCTTGGATGCCAATATTGTGAAGATAGGACCCGATCTCCAAAGGTTCCTCAATCCTCCTTAGGATTCCAATAGGTGCGAAGAGGGGAGGGTATCCCATCTCCACAGATTCCTCAACCAGTGGAGAATGTTAATCTCTCTTCTCTTTTCGTTGTGTCTAGTTAGGCAAAGTAGTATCTTTGTACCCTTGTTGCACACCATCTTTGTTTAGAATCCAGATACGTATTTGGCATTTTTTGATGCTTGGAAATTTACATTATCTTAAAATGGCACTGTATTGTGTTCTGATGATACAAAATTGTTAGGAAGATGATTCTTACCTGGGGACCTGTGATTGCTCCGCCATCTCTTATCTGGTCCTGAGCAATTTAACATAATACCACAGTTGCTTTTCAAAACTGACTTTGCCTAAAAATTTTCAGCCCCTAGGTGACCTGAGAACATTAGATGTCGATAAGAATGGTGAGGCCTTCTTCTCTGGTGCAAAAGAGTACATGAGAGTTGCTGACCTGATCGGGCGGTCTGTGGTGGTGTATGAAACTAAAGATAAATCTGATGTAGGTCTGACCGCTGCAGTTATTGCCAGAAGTGCCGGTGTTGGCGAAAACCACAAGAAGGTTTGTCTGTGTGATGGCACCACCATCTGGGAAGCAAGTGACAAAGATTTTGTCACCAGTAAGGTATAAAACGACACTAAACTTTGCACTTGAACCGTTTGGCTGTTGTAAACCTGATGGCAGTTTACTGCTCAATGTAGTTCATTAGTATACTGTAACTTGAATGTGTCAAACCAAAGAACTGAATTGAGTTTAGTATGGTGCATTCCTCACTATTTCTTTTCTCTTTTTTGGACCAAAGAGTCCAATTGAATTTGCTTATTATTTGTGAATCCTTTAAGCTCTAGAAAGCTGAACCAGTGTTTTGTTATCTATGATTAGGGAATTTATAAAATATGTTTCTAGAGAATAAATCTTATTATTAACAATTCACCATACTCATATTTTTATTTTAAAGTTTATAGAACGTTTTTCACTTCATAGGAGTACAGTTACAAGAGTGCTGAACACACATTTACTTTTTTTAAATATATATATATATATATGTTTAAAATATCTTACCATCAAGATGGAGCTAATGATAACTTAAAACTACTATTGAAATTAGAAATAAAAACTGAAAATCAAACTCTGCTTGCTATATGACATGCTTAATTTATTGTGGTTGATACATTTTTTTTTGTTTCTTAATTTGATTGTATATGAAATCTACAATAATTATGATATTGTTTATATGGAATTTTCCTATTAGTAAAATAAATTTTTTAGTTCTTTGAAGTTTATAAAAAAAAATTTAAAATAATTTTTAATAATTAAGAGATTCTTAAAATAATACATAAATTACAAGAACATGACACCACACTAAACTTATATAAAATTAACATTTTACACACTTTAGACTTAACCTACAAAAACATAACAATAAAAAATAATCAAACATAATTGCAGGGAATTAGTTGACATTTAGAACAGTTGCAACTTGTGCTATAAATTTAAACCCCATTTTAGCCCAAGAAGAATATATTAACAAACACATGCTATAATCATTCATTTGATTTGTAAGAAAATTGGATAAAGATGGAAAAAAATATAAGGAGTAAAGATAAGAGGAAGTTTGAAATATGATAAAGATGGTCAAGAAAACTTGTAAGTTTTGTAAAGCCAACTGAGGCTAAGGGACTGTTTGGAAGAAAATTTGGGTTTTCTTTTTTGAAAGGGAAAGGAAATCCTATTGGAAAAAAGGAGTATAAAACAGAGTGTCAATCAAGTACAAAAGAGCATACAAAGAGGTGACTGGAACTTTGAAGCAAGAAAAGACCAGACCCTAGAGTGGAAATGGCAGCAGGGAATGAAGGGAAATTGGTATAAGAGGCTCAAAATGGAAGCGAAAAGAACATACAGAACTCAGAGCTGGCAATGGAGGGCATAGGAAGCTCAAAAGCTTTGGCGTTCAAAGCCTCAAGCAGTGATATCATGATTCTATAATATTGTTTAACTTTTTATAAATAACTATTACATTTCAAATTTTTTTCCTCTAAAACTGCCATTAGTTAAAATGATTGTTCTTTTTTTTCCCCCAACTCCGCTTCTTCCAGTTATTTCTTCCCAAACAGACCCAGTTGAAGGGGCAAACTGCACCTTCAGTATTCGCCATTTCCAACTTCCTAAAGTAATGTGAAAAAGATCTCCATTCTCTACATTGTTCACAAAATATTGCAACTTGTAAGTAAGAGAATTATCTAATTTCCATGATAGATACCCATTCTGAGAAAACTGGAATGAAGTTTTTCCCAGCAAAACTTTGTGGTGAGTGGAAACTTAGTCTGCACTGAAAAAACATGAACAATTTGGAGCCATCTTTCCAGCAAACAAGTGATTAACCAGTCAGAGTATTCACACTTTAGGACTTGAGTGGAGGCAGCAGTCCTTCTCTCTTGGACATTTCGTAAATGGCAATGGCCATAAGAGCCTTTGCATCTGCTGTCATGCGCCAGAGTTCTCTGTATGGAACTACACAAACCTTGATCAGCTCACCATGTTCACGAAGGCCTGTTTCTTTTCCTTGCAGTTGTGTGATAATCTCTTTGTCCACACACCCTCTGTAAAGAAAAATACTAATTTCTTCATCACATCCTCCCTGACCATGGAAAACATGAAAGAATCAACTCCATGAGTATCTTACACGTAACCAGAGGTAATCATTTATGCAATTGCCAAGTTGATAATTCTGCACTCCACATAACATCCAAATAATTTAAGAACTTAAGAACAAATCATCACAACTAGTAATTGACTTGATTACATAATTCTTGCACATTAATAATGAACCCTGGTATCTAACTTGCAAACACTTCACAAAGCTTGTTAGGATTTCAAGTAAAAACTTCTCATCATGAGATGACAACTCTAATTACTCTGCTAGTCTCATGCAATGCACATTTTAATACATTTATTAACAAAATTCCAATTGTCACGTCATGGGGAACATATTTCACCTTTGACCCAGGTCTTTATGACCTTCATATTTCCAATGACCTTTGACCTTCAACAAGACAAGTAATCTCTTCCAACATTCCATTTCAAGAATGATTTACTTCTTTATGCTTTTGAAAATCCTCAAGACCAGACAACTATTATATCCAAATCCTTCCGTTATCTTAATTCCAACCACAAAAAGACATCTTAATTTCAATTTCAATTTTGCACTTCTATAAAGTTGATATCAATTATTAACATACCGGAGAAGGAAACACTTTGCAGCCAGAAGATGGGTTCAGAAAACTTGTGAGGTCAACCATGTCCTCTATATTAAGACGAATACCAATTTCCTCTTCAACCTGCCATACTAATCAGATCAAAATCAAACATGCCATTTGAAACTACACAAACTTGTAATCTGCTGCTAGACTATTGCATGTGCTGGTGATGAAATAATTTTGGAATGCACTCCATTATGTATGTATGAAGGTAATGATCATTGATGAGCAAAAAGAAAAGAATGAGAAGTACAGGAGGGAGAGAGAGAAAGAGACCTCACGCACTGCTGTGCCAACAAAATCACCCTTGTCATCATCCAACATTCCAGCAGGCAACTCGAGTACAAATCTCCCAGTAGGGACCCTAACCTTCAAAAGTCAAGAAAATTTCATCTGGGTTTGTTCCAAGTGGTAGATTATGCATAATTCATTGTTAATTACTTCTACATAGATTTCCACCTAAAGGTGGACTCTCTTGAATATATACTCTTCCATCAATGATAATACTCCCCGACTCAAATTATTTTGAAAATTTACATGGTGTCAGAGCCGCTCCCCCTTCCTTCAGAAATGATCTCCACCACTGAGCCTTCCATATCATCTCCCACTCTCTTCTATCCCTCTTCAGGCATCTCATCCTTCTTTGGCTTCTATAGATATAAGAAATTGTTAAGGGAGACCCTTGACTCCAAAAACAACATGTGGAAATCATTATTTGTTCCTGTTTTTCCGAGGACATGGTGTGCTTGGCCATATTGATGGTAGCAGTGAATGTCCTCCATTAATGATTAATGATCATGCAGGCAAAGGACAACCCAGCCAAAATGCCCATCTTTGGGAACAAGTGAACTCTTTAGTTATTTCCTGGATCCAAGCCCCCTCTGATATCCTTTGCAGCCTTCTCAAATAAAATATAACTTAACAGCTCATCAGGCATGGCAAGAGATTAAACAACTTTCTCATGATCAACACATACCAAACTACTCCATCTCAAATCGAACCTCTATAAAACACATAAAAAAGACCTTTTCATCAAAACTGTTATGATAACTATTGAAGCTCAAAACAGAGTTCACTATGAATGAGTGCTCTAGATTACTTCTTGGGTGTCAAGGTTATTCAGTATCAACATGCTCATAAACTCCTTAAACAAAGTGAACTTGAATCTTGCGAAGTCATCTCCCCACCATGTCAACTTGGTCAATTACCAAAAGGCTACAAGTATTCTCCAATTCACATCAACTCATTGGATATTCCAACGCAAAGTGGGCCAGGTGTCCAAGCATTCGTCGATCAACAACTGGTTATCACATATTTTTTGGATCTAATTTAGTTTTTTAGAGTGCCAAGAAAGAGTTTACTATATCCCATTCCAGTATCAAGGCAGAGTATCATGTTGCGCTTTTGTAATTGCTGACATGACATGTTAGACTATATTTGGAGCCATATAGGTAGCATTGACATTATCATATCATATGATAGGTGTGGAATTCATGGGAAATTAAATCTCAACAGTAGCTTGCTTAATGAGATTCAATTTCCTTTGAAGTCTATGCCTTTCCAATGATGCGATAATGTCAGTCTTACTACATGGCTTCGAATCTAGTCCAACATGCTCGATATAAAAATGTTGAACTGGAGATTCATTTTATTCATGAGGAAGTCCAACATAGACAGCCTCAAGTTTGCTATATCCAAGTCAAGACCAGTTGCAAACATCTTCACCAAAGATCTCGTTTCAAGCTTTTTCGGTTCTTAAAAGCTAATATTTCCATGCTTGCATGCTCATATTGAGTAAGATCAATGGAATATGTCTAGGTTGTTATTATTGTAACTACTTTGCTTATACATGTACGTAAAGTTCTATCTCAAGGTGGACTCTCTTCCTCTTGTATAAATACTCTTCACCAATGAAGTTAATATCACCGAGTAAAATCATTATGAAAATTTACAAGAATTACCAGCATTAAGGGAGACATAAAATTGAGTCTCTATTATTTCATATGCTGCCTAAGAGAACTAATAAATATAATAGACCAACTACCTGTTCAGTAAGAACAGCATAAGTCTCACCCTCTGAGTCCAGGAGAATAAGCACAGCTACAGCTGGTCCTCGTGCGAATACTATACCTGGAACCTAAGCATGCTTTAGTTCATAAACAAAGAAATAGGACAACAACAGAGGAAACAATACATGGAAATTCAGGAGTATGAGGAGAAAAAAAAAACAAAAAGCTTGCATGGATTTATACTATTGAAGACACATGCTTGGAGTTGGACAGATACCTTGTTTCCTGTTCCCTTATCAAAGATATCTGCTTTGAATTTGATAAAACCTACCCGCTTTCCAAACATATCCACTCCCTGTTAACAGAAAGCCCCAACTTAAATTTGCATTGAATAAGAAAAACATGAATACTGCTTCACTTGGTGTCCTACCCGTTAACTCCATAGATGAATATTTAGTACTGAAGAACACAAGCTACTGCCAGTTTCTTTATTAGTTCTAGGCGTTAGTATTACCCTTTTCAATGTTATCAGTAAATTATGGCAGAAGCGGGTATATCAACAAGTGAAAATACATGTTAAACATACTAAAACTTTACAAAACCGGATTCATCTGAACATCACCTGCACGAGTACTTGCTTTAAGATCACGGCACCATTAGCTAAAATCCCAGTCTCACTTTGTAAGTTAGATAACCATTGCTTGAACAGATATGAATCAATAGCATTCCTGAATTCACCCGAAACAGTTCATTAAAAATAACCCCAAACCAACACTACACCGATAATCTAATAAATTAGGAAAAGAAATCAGTTTCAGATTTCAAAATTGATGAAGAAATACCCACTAGGAACAGGGCTAAGTGAAACACGCGCGATAGAAAGAAAGAAAGAAAGAAAGAAAGAAAGGGAGAGAGGTGGGAGTTACTGGCCTAAACTCGAAATCTGAGATGCCGGGGGCAGCGACGATGCGGACGGGTTGAGCGGGTTGGCATGGGAGAGTGATTGAGTGAGTTAGAGAAGATGAGTCGCCGGACATTTTGCAACAGAAGGCTCTTGTGTGACGATGAAGAATAGAAAGTGAAGGCGAAAGGGCGAATTGTCTCGTGGAAATGAAGCTAGACATGAAAGGCCGGAGAAGGTGACTCATTTTTCATCTGCTCTGCAAACAAAACACACACAAAAAAAATAATAATAATAAAATAAATAACAGCATGTTTACTTACCAAATATTTATAGTTTTATAGAATATTACGATAATTTTTTTAATTAAAATAGTCATAAAAATTAATATTTAATATAAAAAAAATTATATATATACACTAAAATTAGTTTTTTAAAAAAAATTAGACAGTTTAGTATAAATTGTGTAGGTGACAAATTTTTTAGACAAGAGACTTACTTAACACTAAAATTGTTATTACAATTTATTTTTCAAAAATAAAAATTTAAAGATATTATTATACAAAATAATAAAAATAACCATTTACTAAAAACATATTGATATTATTTATGTGAAAAATTTTATGAGATCTTTATGAATTATTATTAAAAAAAAAATACATTTGAATATAAATAAAGAAAAATAGTTAAAAGATTATAATTTAAGCGCCTGGATGATGTCCTTCAAAAATTCTCTTTTAATAGTGAGGTAGAAAAATCTTTTTTGTTAGGTGCTGCGTGTATATATATATATTCAAGTGAAAGTATTAGTTTCAGGTTTTTTAATATGTTATTCTTATCTTAATTAATAAAATTTAATAATTTTTGAATTTTTTTTTACTAAAAATATATAATAAATTTAGTAAAATTAAATCTAATTTAGTCACTAAAATCCAATTAAAATACTATTAAAATAAATCTTGAACTTCAGACTAAGGATTATTAACCTACTATTATTAGTTTATAATAAATCTAAAAAGTAACGAATTCTATGTTTTTATTAAACTTCAAGCTCATAATTTTGAAACACAGTAATCAATTTATTAATTAAATATATTTTTTAATGAATAAAAAAGTTAATAGAATTTTTAATTTTTTATTAAATTAATAGAATCTAATTATTATAAAATTATTCTTTCACATTTTAAATTCTTTGAGACTCAACTTAATTTGATTACTGTAATATTATTAATATACTAATAATTTAAATTATTAATTTTATTAAATTAAATATTATAAAATAATTATTATTAATGTATAATATATTCATAAAATAACGAATTATATAATACAAAATAAAAGTATTAAATAATAAATTAAATTAAATTTATAATTTTTTTTAAAAAAAAAACAATTTATTAGAATGTAATATCAATTTATGGTAAAATAAGTTGTAACAAAAACAAAATATGTGATGGACATCGTCTTCAAGATAAGCACGGGATGATATAATGATTTTATTTTTGACAACTTAGACTTTTGAATTTTATTTTTAATTTATTTATGAAAGAGCACGTTATTGATATAATTAAAAATTAATAAAGAGGATGAAGGGGTAACAAATAAATTAAGTTGACTTTATGCGCACAAATGTCATGATTTTATCTTAAAACAAGATTTAATCCATTACTAACTTTTCGTGTCATAAGCCACGACTATCATTTTTTAATACACCGTTTGGTGAAAAAGTATAACAACATGCGCAATTAGATCGGATTTGATTTTATTTAAATAAAAAAATTAAAATTTAATAACGTATGTAAATTAATAAATATTTAATAAAAATAATAAATTTGATGTCGTCGAAGTTCTTTGGAATCCAACTCAACTATTTTTTATCATAATTATATTAAAAGTTATTTAACTTATATCTAAATAAAAATATTATATCGAATTTTTAATATATTATGATTATTTTAACTAAAAAATTTAACTGCAACATAACTTTTTTTAAAATATATATATAATAAATAATATTTAACATACTTTGTTCATCACATCCCCAACAATGAACTATTAAATTAGGTTTTTGATTATAATGAATCAATAATTATAAATTAGTTACTATCAGTTTATAAATTCAATCACAAAATAGTGATTTTTATGTTTTCATTAACTTCAAACTTGTGATCTTTAAATAGAACACATATGTTTCAACAACTAAACTACTGTTTGTTGATGAAATAATAATTAACTTAGTAAAGAAAATATCATTTTTTTTTTATAAATAAGAGTATTTTTTTAATTGTAAGAGATGTAAAAATAATAAATATTTTGTAACGACCTTGAAAATTCAAAAGAAAATATATAATAATTTAAGTGTGGAAGCGAAATAAAATGTTAAGATTTACATCTCTTACACAATAACTTAAAAGTACAAAACAAACATCACGGAATGAATTCTTTGAAAAAAACACGATAAATGAAAAAATTAAAGAAAAATATAAAGTATCTAGTACCTACTCGCAATCTTCTTGCGGATCAAGCTCGAGAATCAGGTTCTCTTGATCTGAAATAGTTAAATAAGGGGTGAGCTACACTAGCCCAGTAAGCACATCATACTATATCACCGACACAGAAGTAAAGGTTGGTAGAAAATAAAAAACAACTAATTGAGTATTAGATTTAAACCAATACATTTATTTAAAATAAAACCATTTACCTTTTTACTTATCATTGAGAATTTATGAAAATAAATTATAGAAGCAATAATATCATACAGATCATAACTTCATGCACAATCAGCAACATAGAACATATCATAAATTCACATTTATCAATAATAAATTAAATCATAACCATTTCTTGTTTCACTAGCCTACTAGTATTTATGGGGATCGATAGGGGTGTCTCTGCTATACGTGAATCTTTTCTCTTAACAATCTTAACTTCAGAGCCGTCCCCATACCTCATCCTATATGAGCACTAAGACATTAAACTTCAACATCCCGTTCGGTATGAGGATGAAGCGGCCGTCCTCATACCCCGTCCAGTATGAGCGTCAAATGACTAAGTTTCCATACCCCGTCCGGTATGAGACAACGTTCACGGTAGGGTTCCCTATGAACCCGGTCTGTCCACCATCTCTCATGATATCTAGTGAGGCTGTCATCTTATCTGTTTATTAGATCACACCCATTTCCTATTTTTCCTCAGTCTCCGTTACCAAATCAAACATAATTACATAAACAAATAAACATGCATTCGACAATGCAATCATATTTTAGATCTCAAAATCAAACAGTGGTCAAGTAAGGCAATAATACATACATTTAAACCATAAAATAGATAAACTAGAAACCATCATACTTTTAGACTGCAAGATCAATCAACAGAAATCAACATAAAACAATATCCGGTTCGGGCTCCATTAGCAATCTGTAATTAATTATGCATATCTATTTAATTTGTACAAAATACAATATTATCATTTATTCAAACTTCAATTCTATGATAGAAAATAGGGTGAGGGGTCCTTACTTGATTTGACGCCGAAAAGGTAAATAGTTTACTGCGCCTACGGGCAGTCTCTAGGTTCCCTGAATTTTTCTTCAGGAACTAAAACGTACTTACGGTACTTACAAATATCCCAAATAAACCCAAAAATAGTCCCAGGGCCTACTCGGCCAATTTCAGAAATCCAGCACGGCGGTGATCCGCCTCGGCTTGGCTGTTTTCGGCCATTTTCAGCCGAATTTAGCCAAATTTGCATCAGTTTCTGCAAGAAAACATACTTAGGGCCCTTGGTTTGTCCAAAAAACGTAGAAAACTGAAACTCACCGGCGGCGAGACTTTCCGGTGCAGCAGCTCCTCCGGCTCACGTTGCGGTTGGGTGTTTTGCTCCAGTAAACCTGTAGAGAAGGAAACGGTGATCACAACAGTGAAAAAATCACATCAAACGGGAATCGGGAAGCGCCTTATCGGAGGTGTTTTCTGAAATACCCCGCAGCGGCGCCGCCGGGTTTTGCCAGCGTTTTTCGGCCAATCGGCAGGTCGTTTTGCTTTGATTTGATCATGGGTGTGTTTAAAATTAAATTCTGAGCAAAGGGTAAAATTTTTACCTCGTTTGGCAGTCAAAAATTGCTCCAGTGTGGTGGCGGGTGGCTGCGGTCGGTTCCCCGGCGGCTGGGTTGTCTTCTCCGGCGAGGGGTTCTGGCGGCTAGGGTTTGGGTTTGGGTGCGGATGGGGTTATTTATACTTATCCATTTTTTATATGGGCCATCCATCGCTTTTAATCTGAACCGTCCGATCGCGATTAAATAGAGAATAAATTTGGGCCGTTCATGTGCGATTCAATCTGGGCCATCCGTGCGCGATTCAATCTGGGACCGTCTGCGCACGATTCAATCTGGGTCGTCTGTGCGCGCGGGAACGGATATCAGCCGTTCGATCGCGCGCACGCAGATCACCCACGTAGCTCCCCCCGCGTGGCCTCCCACGTCAGCGCCTCTGCCACCTAGTGCGTCCTAGTTGGTCAGGACTGCTGACCGGACATCCGATATGGCGCAATTTTTTTAAATTGTGTTTTGACACCCGATTTCTAATTTTTCTTTCAAAAATACTCTTAGAACTTAAATTTTCACCTATTTTTTCTAAAATTATTTTTAATTTAATGCTTAACGAATTTTTACCTTTTTTAAAAAATTAAAATAAAATAAGTTAAAATAAATTAAATAAATAATAATTATATTTAAAAAATAAAAAATAAGAAAAAATAAAATGTTTGGTGTTACAATTTTATCCTCCAATACTTCAAATATATGAGTAAATCATCATCAGTCAAACTCTTATAGATGATGCTAATTGATGAGGTTAATTTCAAATTGGCTAGGTAAATTATGCTAAAAGAGATCTTGAAAGAGCTCTATATAAGTATTATACTTAATATCGAATGAACACTTCAGTAAGGCTACGTTACATAAATACTACTTTAACTAAGCAAGACCTACACATATTGGACCTAAGTTAAGTTTGCTAAGACTTACAAGTACAAATTCTATGCAAGACTATTCGTTAACATAAATGAAATGTGAATGAGTTTTATCATAAAAAGTATTTTAATATCCAACTTAGTAAGACATAGATATAAAGTAAGAAATAATCGAATATAAGAAAAGTGCAAAACCTAATTAATTTATTTTTAGAAGCTCTAAATTGAGTCTGATTTTTAGTTAGATTAATTTTCTACCTAATTAATTTAGTTACCATTCAAAATTATACCCAACAACTGAGTAAAATTCCAATCAGATTCTAATTCTAATTCTAATTATTCAATTTAGAAATCAATTATATAATTTTTCCATTAATAAAATAATTGCAGTCAGTAACCTTCTAATGTAAATATCAATTATATAAAATTCTTACTAAATCTAACTCTCCTAATTTTTGATTTCACAGAAAAGAATTTTTCATCATGAGGATACGGAAAAAAGATTTTCCAACATATAATATATAGAAGTTCACGTGTATTACATAATTCAAGACATCCTTAACGGGAAAATCTATGGTATATTGGAAATATAATATCTTGGAGATTGTTTGGCACAACAACTAATTAATATTCTATAATAATCAAGTGATATATATATATAAAGTGTATTATAAATTTGTTGTAAACAACTTATATTTAATCAGTTCAATGACTACGCTCACTAATGTATTGGTAGAATTATATAATTAAATTGAGTTATGCATCAACGAAATTATTACATTTATAAATTTGTGATGAATGATTTATAATATTTGATTCAGTAAAATAAATGACTTACTTTACTGGTGTTTTGGCGAAGTCATATAATCAAGTTGAGTTCTATATCAGTGATTTTATCATGCTTATATATAATATTTATTGCATTACAATATTTTAACTATATCGTACATCATTTAAATTTTTAACAATAATTTATGTTACTAGAGTTTATTGATTCATTTATATTTTTTAATACTGAATTAATAGTTTGAATCACAATATTTCTAAAAAATATTATATACTGTAAAAATACATATGAATTAGGAGGGTTTGTAAATCTTATGAGCATACTAAGATATACCATACAAAGACTTTGTAAATTTTATTACTGTACATAAATAACTTGAAACAAATTATCTATCATTTATATTATATTATAACATATGTGTATTATTTAACTAATAGATATATAAATTTATTAAAAAAAAATTATAATAACTGTGGAATGGCAAGCAAGGGTTGAGCTTTGTGCAAAGTGAGTCCAAACTTTTCTTCCATGTCCGTGCCAAGTGGCGTCAATCCTTCTTCAAGTTTCCAGTCAAAGGAGTGAAGAAGAGAAGCCAGCATAAGATGCAGCATCTTCGTTGCCAATGGTAAACCAGGACATATTCGTCTTCCTCCCCCGAAAGGAATCAGCTCAGAATCCTTGCCTCGAATATCAACGTCCTTCTCCATGAATCTCTCTGGCTGGAAACTGTTAGGATTCTCCCACACGCTTTCATCTCTTTCCACAGCCCATATGTTAACTAGCACCTGTGCATCTTTTGGAACTGTAAACCCGCAAATCTCTACTTCTTCACCTGCTTTGCGATGCAAGAAAGGAACTATTGGGTGCAGCCGAAAGGTCTCTTTAACAATGGCTTGTAAGTAGGTCAACCCACTAATGTCTGATTCCTCAACCACCTTCCCTTTTCCTAGTTTTTCCTGGAGTTCCACTCGTGCTCTTGTTAAAGTTTCTGGGTTCTTGAGCAGCTCTGCCATCGCCCACTCTATGGTGTTTGAAGTTGTATCAGTCCCCGCCAAAAGTAGATCCTGTATTATATACATATATATTTATATGGACGATTAATGTCAATAATCATGGGTGAAAAGAGAAGAAAGCAAAGAACTTTACCAGTAGTAAATGTTTGATGTCATTTCTATCAAACCCTTCATCGCTATTTTCCGCAACGGAGAGAAGAGAATCCAAGAAGTCATCTGTTGAAATTCCAGTCTTCTTCCTCGACTCCAGTCGTTGAATGATCATCCTATCCGAAAGCTCAAAGAACTTTCCAAAATTAATCACAGTGCGTCTCCTTATACCCTGTATATCAAATTTCCTGAGCACAGGAAAAAAATCTGCCAAGTTGGTTTTTCCTATTCCTTCCATGATACATCCTACAATCTCTTTGAACTCTCTTGCTGTATCCCCACTTGGGTCAGCCAAGTCGAGAGAGAAAAAGGTATTAGACATCAAATTAAGCATGGTCGTGAAAGCAGCTTGGCCTATATCTATGGCCTGACCAGCAAGGCAACATTTTCGGACATCAGCAAGCAGTTGGTCAACTTTCTTGCGCCTGAGATCCCTATTTGCATCAAGTTTCTGAACTGAGAACATATATGAGTTGCATATTTTTCGACGGGTGCTCCATGGTTTTGAAAGGGGAAGCCATACGAGACTAAATTGATCATGTTGGTGAGCTCTGATTGCATCTGGGATGGTTCTATTGGAGAAGACAACATCATTCTTGTGTATAACATGTTTGGCCATGGCTGGTGAGGAAACAAGGATTGTGGTTAGTTGGCCTAGTTTGAGAGTCATGATAGGACCATGAGTTTTAGCAAGCTTGGCTAAAGATCTATGGGGATTTTGACCGAGTAGCAAGAGATTACCAATTATGGGAATTGATTTGGGACCTGGTGGGAGGTTGGTGGACTTGGATTTGCTTCTCGATTTTGAATGATGCCGTAGAAGGTTAAACAAAACAGAGACCCCGAGAAGAAAGAGTAAAGCAGTAATAATGAATTCCATGTTAGTTTCTGTAAGGTGTGTTAGAGGGAATCGGTGAATATGCTGGTATTTATAATGCATCAAATTGTGGTTTGAGTTTATCAAAATAGAATTTTAAATTATTTTTATTTTAGACTCAGTAAACAAGATTAAACTTACTCAAACAAGTAATCTTCTTTGAAAACTACCGTTGTTTTTATCCGCTTCCAAAACAAATAAACATTTGCTTCGTCTCTATCCCTTTCTCGTTTAATTTTTTAAATTTTAATTATTCGATGGCAGATGAAAGCTACTGATTATGGGTCAGCTCCATCCCACTGGGCTGGAACTTGAGCTTTGATGTGGATCTGCTGCTTGTTAATTGAATAGATTAGCACGGTCTTCTGGGTTCGCATTTCTTCAATTGCAAGACCTACAGCTTCAATCTATTTATTATATACGGAAGCTGGAAACTTCTCCTTCCCATTTGGAACAGTGTCGCTGCCTCTCATTCTGCTCTCAATGGTGCATTCTATCCTACCTGCAAGTATCATCAATCACAAACTAAACCAAATATCATTGAAACTCTGGCATGGGTTTTTGCCAATTAATCAAAAACAATTCCCATATATGCGTACAATTTTGATATTTATGACATGGGTTTTCATCTGTTTGTGGTGAAAGTGGGTGCAGGGTTCGGATTTGGGGACTTGAATTTGGATAGCAAGAACGGGATGGATCCAGAGGCTGGGATATGAAGAAGAACATATTGGAAAAAATGGAGGTGCATTTTCTATTAAGGCAGCAAGTGCTGTGTTAACTCCATATACATATATATGGAGAACATTTTCTTCCCTCTCAATACTGTAGCGTGCTTGCTTTAACATGTTCGGTCTGGGTTGGAGACTAGATCAAAATTTTTTTTAAAAAAAAAAAAAAAAAAAGAGTAGTGATTAAACATAGTTTAATCGGGTTTAATTTTTTTTAATCCATACTGCATTATGACTCTCCCCTTTAATTAATATTGGGTGAATTAATTGTAGAGTTGGAATGGTTAGGTCGGATGTAATTGTCATGATATCACATATTTGCTTTGAAATTTTCAACATTTGATTTGTTTTAATGACTGTGATTAACATGTATTTAAACCGTAATCGGGTTTATTAATTTTGATTGCAAACAAAGGGAGGCTTTTGTTTTTCAAAAGAGGAATATTCAATAAGATGGTAGCAATTTCTAATTGGTTATTTAGCTTGATTAATAATAATGGAAAAATAATTTTTAATTACTTCAAAATGTAAGAAAATACATAATTATGGGCCTTAGCTTTTTATTTAGAAATTTTCTACTTGCGAGAAACAATCACCAAAATTTTCGATGCTTACTTAACCACTTATCAAAACAAAGCTGCCAAAACTGAGAGATTCTCCATTAATCAAATATTCCCACATCTTAATAACTTTAATTACGTACCTAATCACCATCTTAATTTTCCAAAAAAATATATATATATATATATGTATAGACGATTTAACACCCGAGAAAGAAACGACGCCGTCTCATCCGGGCAAAAATGTTCGCTTCTTCCTCTTATTTTATTTAATTTTATTTTAAGACGTTTGTAAACTTTTTACCACCGTGAAATTGGAGTCAGACAAGAGTCACGCAAGGAGTGACCAATCACCGACCGACACTCCTGGTTCTCAACATTCAAGCTGCCTTCACAAGGAATCCAATCTTACGATTGTTATTTTTCTTTTTTAAATTCCCTCATCCAACGCTTCAAACTTCCCCGCGGTACCTCAAATCTTAATCTACGCCGTCCGATAATATCCGCACATCCTCCTCTATCTTTATTACAATTACATACACACATCATCATCCTCATCTTCCTCTCTCTCTCTCTCTCTCTCTCTCTCTCTCTCTCTCTCTCTCTCCTCTTCAGATTCAGAATTCAGATCTGCGCACGCTCTTGGAAAAAAAAGAAGCATAATCTGTACTGTTTCGAGTTTTCATTTCTGAGAGGGAAGAAAGAGAAGTGATAGTTGCAGTTGTGTGTTTGCAATGGTGGAAGCGCAGACATGGAAGACGAGGAGGATGAGCAATCCCAGGCTAGATGCGACGGGCGGCGGCGCTACTGTAGGAGGTGCGGCGGTGGACCATCAGGCACTTGACATGCCGGCGACGCCGCCGGGGGATGTAAGGAACAGCTCTTTCGGTGGGGTTGGATGGCAGAAACTGTCGCCGAATGTGCTGACGGCCGGGATCATAGCCTCGTGGTTCGCCTCGAATATTGGCGTCCTCTTGCTGAATAAATACCTTCTGGCGTACTATGGCTATCGATATCCAATCTTCCTGACGATGATCCACATGCTTTCATGTGCTACTTACAGCTATATTGCAATCGGCTTTCTGGAGATCGTACCGCGTCAGCACATCCTCTCCCGAAGGCAGTTCCTCAAGATCTTCGCCCTCAGCGCCATTTTCTGCTTCTCCGTCGTTTGCGGCAACACCTCCCTCAGGTACATTCCCGTCTCCTTTAACCAAGCCATCGGCGCCACCACGCCCTTCTTCACCGCTATATTCGCCTTTCTCATCACTTGCAAGAAGGAGTCCGCCGAAGTCTACTTCGCGCTCTTGCCCGTCGTGTTCGGGATCGTGTTGGCCAGCAACAGCGAGCCCTTGTTCCACCTCTTCGGCTTCCTCGTCTGTATCAGTTCCACGGCCGGCCGCGCCTTGAAGTCAGTTGTGCAGGGTATCTTACTGACGTCAGAAGCGGAAAAACTACATTCCATGAATCTGTTGCTCTATATGGCGCCCATGGCTGCTTTCATCCTTCTCCCATTTACCCTTTATATCGAAGGCAACGTAGCGAGAATCACGGTAGACAAGGCCAAAACCGATACTTTCATTGTCTTCTTGCTGTTGGGGAATGCAACGGTGGCGTATTTAGTAAACCTGACCAATTTTCTAGTGACGAAGCACACCAGTGCACTGACACTGCAGGTGCTAGGCAATGCAAAGGCCGCGGTTGCGGCGGGAGTGTCAGTGTTGATTTTCAGAAACCCGGTGACGGTGATGGGCATCACAGGATTCGCCGTTACAATAATGGGTGTGGTGCTTTACAGCGAGGCAAAGAAGAGGTCTAAAGTTACGACTCATTGACGATAAATACAACGATCTATTCATTTTGATTGCCAAAAAAAAAAAAAAACTGGTTCGGTTCTTTTATTTTTACTTTAGCTTTTTAATATTTTTCTTACCTCGAATTTATCGCACTTTTGTCTTTGCTTTTGATTAGATTTTAAAGAAAGGGAAGAATGAAAAATTTGGGTCAAAGGAAAACGTGATTTGGATTGTATAGGATGCTTGGAATTATTGTGGGTGGGTTTAAGAGAACAAGATTCTCTCTTTCACCTGTCCCCTGTCTGTAACCTATGTTCAATGCAATTTGGCAAAACAGAGAACGGATTCAGATATTCATTTTTTCCTTTTTTTTTTTTTTTCGGGGAAGGGAGCAAAATGTTCTCTCTCTCAACATTCTTTAAGCATAGTTACTGTTCTATGTTCCTACGATACATCTATTGTAATACAATCTTGTTCTTTTGCAAGCAATTATTTATGTTGCTTATTAGTTTGACCATCTGATTCCCTCTTTTGATTCAAGGTTTCTTGCTTGATAATTTGGATCTTACTGTCGTGAAGCTGTATATTGGAACCATTTTTAACAAATTGGACAAATCATGCAATTCTGTGTATGTTTTGAGGTGGTCTACAATATTTTAGATGGCATTTCACATGTTAAGATTCATCTTTGTGATTTAAAATGTGTGACTATTCCATACTTAGATGATTGAGATTGAAAATGTTGGTGCTATTTGTTTCTCATTATGGCTGTCATTTTCTATGAAACATCTGGATGACTTTCTCATGAACATAAAAACACATTGTAGAAATTCAATTTATGATGGATAGTTTACTTGCATATTCATTAAGGTCATTGTGGATCTGTAGAATTTCCACAATAACCATCTGCATCTTGATTAGTTGTCAGATTCCATATTCGTCATGAAAACTGAGCAAAGTGAATTACTGAATCAACTGTTACGTTCGCATTTTTCTCCTAACTACGTGAATCTGCAGATCGTGTTCTAACTCAACTAATTGTTTCTGGTCCTTTTTTTTTTTTGGAATAAATGGTCTACATATATTGATTGGTGTTGGACACTGGCTTCAGATTGCACTTGTGGGATTCAGTGGAATGTAGTCAAAATTTGATTTTAGGTTGTGCTAGAGTTTCCAATTAATGACATTCTTTTAGTTTTTGATGACTTCCTACACCTTAGCTAGACTTAAGGTGCCAAGAAAAATAGGAAGTTCATGAAAATTTGAACTGAAGGCAAGGTTTGTAAAGGGTGAATGCAAGTTGCTACATCCGATAATACCTCATTCCTGAATTCAGTTCCTTGATTGAAGAATTTATCACTGCTTTAATTACGAGCCAAGAATGAATGAATTTAGGGACCCAAAACTGGATGTTTTGGTTGTTTCTGTGGACTGATGTTCTTTTTCCATCTGATGTATGATTAGCATGAGGTACTCAGTATACTACTTGAAATGGTAGTGACTTTTTTCAGTTTTCCTGGCACATTTGTCGGCTGTTGTTATGATTTTAGCTTTTCAGTCTGTTGTTTAAAGTATTTGTAGAACATGAGTTTCATACGATTTATGGGAAGCTTTTTCCTATTCAGTAAAATTCATGTATAGATCAGATCGAATTCTACTCTTCGGTTTGGTTTTTAGATCAAATTTTTAACTGGTTTACAGTCATCACGTAAGAACATCAGGGTGCATTTGGTCTCATTTTTTCTGGAACTTCTGGCAATCTTGCTTCGTCCAACATGGTTGGAAATTGCTGGGTGATTGTTGTTGGTGAAATTGCTGGGTGCATCTGTCTTTCATGGTTATATGGAATGGAAATAAGCAATACGTATTAAGTATAATTATACTATATTCCTAATAAATATTTACCTAACTAAAAAGATTGTATTTTTTATTATTAATATTTTATTTAAACACAAAATTATTTACTTTAAATAAATATTTACTTTCTTAAAATAATTTAAAATACCATATGAAAATAAGTACGCATTTGCAAATAGGATTCCACACTTATTGCTTTCCTCCTTGGATATTTTTTTCATTATATCTTGTGATGCTTAAAAAATTAATATCGAGATAAATCTACATGCCGCCACGTGGCAAAATTTCATTGCATAACGAAACGGATCTTTAAGGAGGTGGATGCACCTAAGTGATGCCCTCTCAACCAAAACATTTCAAAATTTGACAAGCCTGAAGAACAAGTCCTCTTACTTCCATGGATTTTCAGACCATTTGCAGATGAGAAAAGCTTTCAACTGCAACAGGTATGATTATTTTTCATTTCATATTTCCACTGACCATCTCTACAGGCAGAAAATTAATAAGAAACACTTGCTATGAGCGTTCCTATCTTTCTGTGACCCTACACCAAATATGTCAGTCTTGGATTTCTCCGTGGTGATCATTGCAGACGATAGATTAGGCAGCTCCCTAAGTATCAGAAGCAACAATTCTCGGCTAGATTTCCAAATATATCTACTGGAGCTCGTGATCTGCCAGAGAAGGTCTGCATCTTGAGGCAAGAATCATAGTGTTGTATGAGCATGCATCCAATCACTCTTTTCCTCGATGAAACTATTGATAAATCTTTTTTGTTGTATCTATTATTCAAATTTTCGTCTGTTTTATAATGCTAAAGATTTTGTTTATATTGTTCTTTTGACTTGACATTGATTTCTTCAATTATAAGAGGTTATTGCAGCTCAAATTTGTTGTTGCTGCCAAATATCAGAGTTATTAAAGAGCAAGTCCCAGAAGTATTCATGCTGGAGAAGGAAGTTCAATTTGCGTATGCTTTCAAGCTTTATTAAGCTGTTACATTAATAATCCTGATCCACCTTAGCTTAATGATAAGGTCGCAAATTGCAGAGTTTTATAACCTGGGGTTCAACCCAATTTTGCATATACTTTCAAGCTTTACATGCTTATTAGGCTAAAAGAAGAAAAAAAAGGAAATGTTGCATTCGAAAGGCATATATCGCCAACCTAGCAACAATTTCAACAAAAGAAAGAAATATTTTTCTTTTGTTGGCACATAGTCAGTATAATCATGTTACTTAACCTAGGAAAAGAGTTCTTAATACTGCAAGGAACATGATTGAAGCTTGATGCTTTCGATTGGCAATTTGTTTTCCGGAAATTTGCAGGATGCAAGTTTATTAGGATTCTTATCTGATAACTGTTTACATGCTGGAGGAGTTACCTTACTGGTGGTTCCTGCAACATCAGTGCAATTCCACTGAATTTTCTTTGGGTCATCTGACAGACCAATTGTGACATTAGATATGCAAATTCCAGTAAAAACATCTCCCTCTATCCCTTGAAATTGAGCTGCCATCGTCACATTCTCTGCAACCATGTCGCGGTAATTAATGTTTTTGATCACAGGAAGTGCTTTAGGATCAAAGTTGTTGTCTGGATGAGAGCCATAGTTTCCTGTAATCCAGAACACAAACTTCATAGTTTTCATTATCATTCTTCTTACAAATATGTCCTTGACATATCCTCCTCTTCCTACACCAGTCTTGATTCTAACACCGGATTGTGAGTCAATGGCAACAACATCCTCTACCCTAACATCTTCAATTCCACCAGACATCTCACTCCCTAATGCAATCACCGCGCTATCTGGAGAAATGCAAGTGAGTCGTCTCACTACTAGTTGTTTGGTTGGCATCCCAACCTTAATTCCATACTGATCCCACCCACTCTTGATTGCTATACAATCATCTCCAGATACAATATAGCAATCTTGTATCAAGGTATTGGTGCAAGAATCTGAACATCATACCCCAAAAAAATCAAATGAACATTGCATAAAATAAGTATTCAAATGACTTAAAGTGAGATTCTTCAGTTATGGAATATGAGGAACACAAATTTTATATAAAACAAGAGTTAGGTTTTTCGATCTAAATAAAATGATACTAAAATGGCTCACCCGGGTTAACCCCATCGGTATTTGGAACTGTTACTGGTGCAAGTATTGTTAAGCCCGTCACGAGAACATTGCTACATTTGACATATTTTAGAATTAAAAGAATTATTTCTCAAATAAAAATAGAGAAACAAACTCATATATTAAAAAAAAAAAAAAAAATAGGAATAATGAGAGGAAGAACCTGCAATAAACAGGGTGGACATGCCATGAAGGAGAGTTGGTTAACACCAGATTAGAAATCTGGACATTATTAGAGAACAAGATTTCAATGAGATAAGGACGAGTGAATTTTAATTCTCCTTTAGGAAATTTGTCCCACCATGGAGCACCTTGTCCATCAATAGTTCCATTATCACCTGAAATCACATTCTTGTATGCTTAGTAGTTAATTATTAATAATAAATGTGTGTTTAAATTCAACATTGGTTGCTCGATTTTTAACCTGTTATAACAACATCGGTCAAGTTGGTTCCAAAAATAAGACTGATGTATCTTCCACCCGGAGAATCTCTTCCTCTACCGTAGGATGGTAATGGTTTAATTACAGGCCATTCTTTTTCATCCTAGAATGATAGTAAACACAAAATATTTAGATCATGATATATAATAACTTGATAGTTTCACCAAATTTCTTATTAAGATATGAAGATTAAGATAAGGTTAATGATGTTGTAACCTGAACAGCAAGAATAGTTGCATCTCGGTGTAAGAAAAGAGTGAAATGACTAGTGAGATTGAAACTTCCAGTCAACCATTTTCCAGGAGGAATAAAGAGTTGAGATCCACCAGAAGAAGAGAATTTGCTTAAATTTGCAATTGCAGCTTGAAAGGCCTTTGTGTTTAATGTTTTACCATCACCAACTGCTCCAAAATCAGTCAATACTGCACTATGAGCCCTGCAATTTATAGCAGAGTACATAGACTTTTCATTCACCATTATCTTCCCTTCAGCCCCATTTCCACATAACACGAAGAGAAGTACGCCGAAAACAAAGACATTGTAAACTACCTGCTAAAAATATCTATTTAGATTTTAAGAAGTAGATAATCAAGAATACTTTTATCTATTGTATGTAAACATTTGATTACCTTTTTTCTAATCTCCATTGAAGCAGAAGAATGATTTGCAGTCATGAGTTTTTTTGTCTCTAAACTTTCTGGGAGAAATTTGGGTATTTAAACTAAACAAGGTTTATTTTTACCTGCTAATAGATTAATATACAAGCTAAGATTTAGGATTTATTTTTAGTACAAAACCACCATGGCCATCTCATTGCCTTACAGTCTTTGAAAAGTAATTACCAACTTTAGATGAATTAGCTTAAATTAGTTGAACTACCAAGTACCTCTTTAAGTCTATTCAGGGATAATCATTGACTTTCTCAATCTTCTTATTTATCTCGTAATTCTAATTATATCCATGAACTTGAATTATACTGATTTCGATATAACTCTTTTACCATCTTGTGTATCAGGGATTTTAAGAACTAAAAAATAATATTGTACTGTAAGAAAAATATAAAGCCTAATCATTATAAATAACCTCATTATGTTGGAATTATTGACATTTTTATTAGGAGTATTTATGAGTTTAGGATCAGACTCGACGTCTTATACAGAAGGTATATGTATATATATTAATAAATAGTTAGTAAATATAAATGCCATGATATTTTATGTACTGAGCAAATATATATGTATATATATATACATATATTCCATACTTTGCGTTTTCGGATCACAGACACACTAAATCCGGTTGTTGGACCTTAATTAGAATAATTTCTTTTCCGAAGTCAGTTCGTGTAAACTCCCAATTCAAATCCCAAATTCCCAATCTCGACACCTATCTTCTTCCTGCCTTAATCTGGTACTCAAACGGAGTAAACGGATTTCTGTAAATTGTAATCATGGAAAGTGACAGCGACCAAGGAACTTCCGATATGAAGACGATATCTCGGCATTCTTATGGCGACGACCCTGACAAACCTAACTTCACCATTTCTATAATAGAGGTACTTGATTCATCCTGTTTAAACCTAAGAAATCAGTATTTGAAACTTAAACTGATTCCTTTGGTTATTTGAAGTTAGAATATGAAAGAGGAATATGGTCTGTTTGTATGGCCCTGTAGCATCATCCTCGCGGAGTATGTTTGGCAACAGAGATCGCGATTCTCCGGAGCAACCGTAGTCGAAGTAATTTCCATGATCCTAATGTTACTAATTAATTTGTTTACATCCGTATAAAATGATGAGGCATCTGTAGTTTGCTTTGTAGCTCGGTGCTGGAACTTCCTTGCCGGGTTTAGTCGCTGCAAAAGTTGGTGCTGACGTCACGCTCACTGACCAATCAGATAAGCTACAGGTATTGGTTGCAATACAATTTCATTTGAGAGTTTGAAATATTAGATAATTTTATCATGCTTGGCGTGTGATTCAGCTTCAGTTCAACTGGAATTTTGACGAGGGCGATTTGTTTTCGTTGTGCAGGTATTGGAGAACATGAAAAGAGAGTGCATTTTAAATCGGCTGGACTGTAAAGTAAAGGCATCATTTGTTTAAATAATGAAACTGCACAACATATGTTATTTCTTCAGTTCACAATTTCCTTTTTTTTTTTTTTTTCATTTTGGCTTTGTAGATAAGTGGGTTATTGAGTAGATGTTTGATTTTCCTACATAGGTAGTAGGAATGACATGGGGAGTTTGGGATGAATCTATATTCAGTTTATGCCCAAATTTTATTCTCGGTGCCGATGTACTCTACGATGCGAGTGGTACCGTCTTCTATTTTTCTTTTCTTGTTTAAGCTAATCAGTTGAATCCAATATTTGATTTAGTTTCTGTTGTTTTAAGCATTTGATGACCTCTTTGCTACTGTGACATATCTGCTCCAAAATTCTCCGGGGTCATTTTTTATTACAACATATCACAGTAGAAGGTAATTTTCTCTATTCTTTCCAATTTGATTTTCAGATAGTACATGGATCCAATGATTTTCTTTGTCTCACTTAATGTTGGTTCTTTTTCTTTTTCCCTTCCGGGATATGCAGTGGACATCATCTCATTGAGTTTTTGATGGTGAAATGGGGATTGAAGTGTGTAAAGCTGCTGGATGGTTTCTCGTTCTTGCCATCTTACAAGGCATCTTCACTTACGGGCAACATTCAGTTGGTGGAAATTGTGTTGAATCAGGAATCAACTTAGGCAATCTTCACTTCCTGGATTCCAAGAGGACCATCGTGCTTTATAATTTCCAGTAAAGATGCTTATTTGCTCTCTGGGTATTGCTTTAGTGATCAATGCATTTGTTCACTTGTGTGGTAATCGAGCATCAAACATATAGTTTCAAATGGCATTGTTAAACCTTAACAAATGGCTTAACATCCTTCTCCTTATCAACTCAATTTGCATATCTGAAATTTATTCGCTGCTTTTGCTAAAAATTTATATTATTTTTATTTTACTTCCTTTTTTGCTTAATGAAGTAGAGCATTAACCATACCACCCTCATGGAAAGCCAGGTTAAATAACAATCCAGGCGAAGCTATTGAGTCTATATATTCATTTCTTTACAATTGAATCTATATCCAATTTCTTAAATCGGAGATTCTGGGGCTGATTTTGTTTTTCAAATCAATTTGTGGCCGTGTTCTGAATTCCACCTTACTTCCCAATTGAAGGATTACACTGGGAAGGTTTTTATGGGGGCGTTCAGCTTAAGGGAGGATGGGAACCAAGCAATTATATCAGTTTCAGTTTTGCAGCATTCTAGATATAATTATTTTACAGCAAAAGTGACGCAATTTGAAGAGTAATTCTTTTCTCCTGTTGTTCTGAGTGTGGAGAAATAAGAGAAATTTAAGTGTCCTGATATTCTGATACTAAATTACTTATGCTATATCACTCTGGTTATGAGCTGGTCCTCTTCTCAGTCTTTTTGAGATCAACTAAGCTGCTCAGCACACACCCTCCTGTTGTGTGTCATATCTGATATTTCCTGAATAGCAACTGAAACTGCATAGATCAGATCAAACCCTTGATGTCTTATATTATATTTACCATGAACTTCATCGTAAATTTCAAACAGGAAGCTCTCATTAACAATGCCCACGCTTCGTCAGATGCCATTGACAGTTCCCACTAGGTTCAGATAATGAGAACGATCACAATCTTGCAGATGCGTGCCCATGGTTTCGATTTGTTCATGGAAATGCCCATCCACCAAATACACAACAGGTAAATCATTTTAACATCACTCAATATTCACAACTAGGCTTTAACAATAAGAAACAACACCCGGAATGGAGTCGCCCGATTATTACCTCTCTGACATTTCAATATTATTTATCACCCAAGTACAGACGAGTGATCAGTATTATGAACAAATCTATATTAGAAACTGTTTTATTTATTTTTTTTTTAATCACATAGAAACTGGGGTTTTGTATTTACCATTTCCACACGTATAGTACATGAAAAACCCTACCATCTATAAGAAAATAAAAAAAAAAAGAACTGAAAACCCAAAAGAACCCAAGAAAAACCCATTAGTTGGACACCGATGTAAATAAACTACGTACGGTCTTAGAGACCTTTTTAGTCAACTTCCTCCATCTTGCTCTCCTCGTTTCCTGCTTCCTCAATTGTTGGCATATCCGCATCATCCTCTGCATTTTCATCATCCTCGATGCTCAACCCAAGCTTCAACATCCTATGAATCCTTGCAGCGAAAGTGTTAGGATCCTCAAGACTGAAACCAGACGTCAAAAGTGCAGTCTCGTACAGTAGCAGCACCAAATCCTTGACAGATTTGTCATTTTTGTCAACCTCAGCTCTTTTCCTCAACTCCTCCACAATTCCATTGTCTGGGTTGATTTCCATTGTCTTCTTGCTTGCCATATAAGCACTCATGCTGTTGTCTCGAAGAGCCTGGGCTTTCATGATTCTTTCCATGTTAGCGGTCCATCCGTACTCACCTGTCACCAACACACAAGGTGAATCCACGATTCTGTCTGACACCACTACTTTCTCCACTTTGTCCCCCAAGATCTCCTTGATTGTCTTGCACAGATTCTCAAACGACTTCTTCTTCTCCTCCCTCTTCTTTTTCTCTTCCTCCGATTCTTCCTCAAGTTTTAGTCCTTCCTTAGTTGCAGATACAAGTTTCTTCCCATCGTACTCCTTCAATTGATTAACTGCATACTCGTCTATCGCGTCCACCATGAACAGGACCTCGTACCCCTTCTTCTTGAGCCTTTCAAGGAAAGGTGAGTTCTCAACAGCTTTTTTGCTCTCCCCTGTGATATAATAAATCTCTTTCTGGCCCTCCTTCATCCTTGTCACGTAATCCTTCAGGCTCGTCATCTCGTCACCGCTCTTGTTTGAGTAGTATCTTAGAAGGTCCGCAAGCTTAGCCCTATTCTGGCTATCTTCGTGAATCCCCAGCTTGATATTCTTCGAAAAAGCATCGTAAAACTTGGCATAGTCCTCCTTATTCTCAGCGATCTCATTGAACATCTCAATACATTTCTTCACTAGATTTTTCCTGATCACTTTCAGGATCTTGTTCTGCTGCAGCATTTCACGGGATATGTTGAGCGGGAGATCATCAGAGTCCACAACACCCTTCACGAATCCGAGATATTCTGGGATAAGCTCTTCACAGTTGTCCATGATGAACACCCTTCTAACATAGAGTTTGATATTATTCATTTTCTTCCTTGTATCAAAGAGATCAAATGGTGCTCTCTTAGGAACAAAAAGAATGGCCTGGAACTCAAGCTGCCCCTCAACAGAGAAGTGCTTCACCGCAAGGTGGTCCTCCCAGTCGTTAGTAAGGCTCTTATAGAATGAAGCATACTCCTCCTTTGAAATCTCCTCAGGCTTCCTCAGCCAAATGGGTTTCTGTTTGTTAACGAGTTCCCACTCATGGGTAACTTCTTTCACCTTTTTCTTCTTGCCTTTGTTGTCTTTGTCCTCATCAATTTCCTCCACTTCACCTTCCTTTTCCTTCTTTGCTTCTTCATCTTCATCATCGCTAATCTCCTTCTCCGTGGTCTTCTCTGTCAACAGGTAAATGGGATAGCTAATGAACTCAGAATGCTTCTTCACCAGGTCCTTCAACCTCCTATCCTCCAAGTATTCCAACTGCAATCAGGACAGAAAACAGAAACAACTAATCAACATCAACCCACAATCAAGAAATACCGAGAATTATCAGTATTAACTATCTCCAATCACAAAACATTCTTAACTTCTTTTGCTCTTACCTGGTCATCTTTAAGGAAGAGGGTGATCTTGGTTCCCCTGCCGAGAGGCTCACCGTTGACATCCCTTGAGACAGTGAAGGACCCGCCAGCCTGAGACTCCCAGACGTACTGCTCATCGTCGTTGTGCTTAGTCGTCACAATAACCTTCTCTGCCACCAGGTAAGCCGAGTAAAAACCAACGCCGAATTGGCCGATCATGCTCACATCGGCGCCAGCCTGTAGAGCCTCCATAAACTCCTTGGTTCCAGACCTTGCAATCGTACCCAAGTTGTTCACCAGATCTACAAGACAACAAAGTTGAGTAGTCTTGGATACCCATTATTTCCGAATTTACGAAAGGAAAGCACAAAATAGAAAGTATAGCTCCAGCTACTCTGATTCATACCTGTTTTGGTCATGCCAATACCACTATCTATGACGGAAAGAGTCTTGTTAACCTTATCCGGAACGATCCTGATAAACAGCTCTGATTGAGCATCAAGCTTGCTTTTGTCTGTCAAGCCCTCAAATCGAATCTTATCCAGCGCCTGCAGCCAAAATCAATTAAGGAGTTACAATCGGACCGCAAGTACAAATTCGTTGCACCGAATTCTTTCTTCGTCTTGTTAGTACTCAAACAGACAGGCGACCAAAACTTTCCATACATCCAATAGTTTCCGGCAACCAAAAGCTTATCGATCAAACAAACGTGAAAAAAGAACAGTTAGGATAAGCTGCTACATTCATCATCTCTATTCTATTATAATTTCTCTTTCCCTATATATTTGATATTTCTAAGCAGCAAAACAACTACTAAAAAGAAGGAAGTCCACATGATGGCGTAGAGATGACCGACTTACATCAGAGGAGTTGCTGATAAGTTCGCGAAGAAAGATCTCCTTGTTGCTGTAAAAAGTATTAATGATGAGGCTGAGCAGCTGATTGATCTCCGCTTGGAATGCGAAAGTCTCAGTCTCCGCCATTGGAATATCTGCCATAGATATCAACTAGCCTTTTTCACCAAAAGGAACAAGCACGAGAGGATATGCGATTGAATCTGATGGGATGTACGGAGGGAGAGAAGAAATGTTTATAGAGGAGGAGGGAGAGGTTCTGGTAGTTTCTTCTGGTTTCGGGATGGTTGCTGGAGCGATATGGAAAGCAGTTTTCGCGGGAACTTCTAGACCATTCCCCTTTTTTTTTTGAAGTTTTTGCACCGAAGTTTTCAAATAATTTCACTCTAGCCCTTAGTAAAACGATTAATTAATTAAATGGGCTTGTAAAGTTGGGCTATGTTGAGGACTGATTAGTAAAATGAAATGGGTAATGGGGCAAAACTTTAACCAATTAAAATGGATTGGTATAAAACAATATTTGGATACAATATTTAGGTCTTAAAAATAAGCTCTATATATATTTTTGTATATTCTTTTAAATTTTTATATAAATATATATATATATATATATAGTTTTTAACTAATCTATTCGTTTAATCTATAATCAAACTGAGAATTAAGTATTTTATTCTTAATTGTTCCTCTTACCATATCGTGTTGTTTAAAATCATGCATTTTTGTGCTAATTTAATTTACTGTTTAACTGAATAATCAATACATTTTTTTTATTTTCTTTTTTTATAAAAAGTTGTAGATTTAATTTAAATTTTATTAAATTTAAATCTTAAAAATAAACTCAATATATATTTTTATATATTTTTTAAATTTTTATATAAATATTTTTTTTTGTTTTAACTAATATAAGTGTCTAATCTATAATTAAATTGAAAAATAATAATTATTCATCGTTTATTGTTCCTCACTATATAAAAAGTATGCATTTTTGCGTTGATTTAACCACTATATTTAGTTGAATGATTGATACGTTATTTTTTTCATAAAAAATTTATAAATTTAATTCAAACTGTAGTTTATTAGTTGTAATTGATAAATAAATATTATATAATTAATAAATTTATGAATTTACTAAAAAAAAAAATTGTTGAGAGAATATTCTTTGTCCTTTAAGATTTTAAAATTATGTTTTTGTTTATTTTTATTGATAAATTATGTTATTATTGGTGCGCATCTATATAAATTTTTATTTTAAAAAAAAAAATGTGGAGAGGCCAACACGAACAGCTAATGATTGCAATACAAGTAGAAGAGTGTAAGTTAGTTGTAGGAACCTTTTTTTTCATCTTCTACCCGTGATCACTGGTCAAACTAAGCTCTTGCTTATACTGCATGCCACTCATCTCCTCATTTCCCACCTAAATATGAATCTAAATCAACAAAATTTTCACGAGAAACCCCCCACACTTTTTCCAGGAAAGTACTGGCTCCCATTTCATCTTCCAAACAACCATGCACCCAAGTATGTATATATATATACACACACACACACCGAGACATATACCACTCGTGTCTTTTTCTTAATTTTCTTCATTTCTCGTGACATATTACCTTATTTGCGCCACAAACCAAAACATGAAACAATATAAGAAACCCAGATCGACTTCCTTGGGAGCTAGTTGAAATTAGAGAAATGGATCACAACAGAGAAAGTTCATCGCTTGATCAGACTCACTTCCTGGATGTCCATGAAGTCTCACCTCAAGAACACGAAGAAGAAGAAGAAGAAGACGAGGAAATAAGAGATAAAGTTGGGAAGAAAGGTTTAAAGAGAGTACCCAACAGAGTTGGAGAAATGAAGAGATCTGTAGGGCAGAAGCAGAAGAGTTTTAGCAGACAAGTATCACTGGAGACTGGGTTTTCAGTGTTGAAGAAAGACTGGAAGACGAAAGATGAAAGAAGAGTTAATCTGCCGAGAAGTGGACGTAGCTTTGGAGGTTTTGATTCAGTGAACAGGAGTGGGAAAGGAGATTTCAGTATCTTCAAAACTAAATCAACTCTTAGTAAGCAGAACTCATTGTTGCCAACGAAAAGAGATAAATCAGATCAAATGGAGTCCCAACAAAATGATCATCATGCCTCTAATGGTCTTGATCATCATCATCATCAGCCTCTCAATACAAGTGTTCCTGCTGGAAGATACTTCGCTGCTCTTAGAGGCCCTGAACTAGACCAAGTCAAGGTGATTTTCTTCCTTATATGTATATTAATAAATACATTCTTTATACATATTATTGTTTAAAAAAAGATTGATGTATACAGTAACTAAAATTCTTATGGGTGGATGCAGGACTATGAAGATATTCTCCTGCCAAAAGATGAGAAATGGCCATTTCTTCTTCGTTTCCCAATTGGGTGCTTTGGTATATGCCTTGGCCTAAGTAGCCAAGTGGTTTTATGGCATGCTCTTGCAACAAGCCCAGCTACAAGATTTCTCCACATTACACCATTCATTAACCTTTCTCTCTGGCTATTATCACTGGCAGCTCTATTCTCAGTCTCATTCACTTACCTCCTCAAGTGCATTTTCTACTTTGAGGCTGTTAAAAGAGAATACTTTCACCCAGTTCGAGTTAATTTCTTCTTTGCCCCATGGGTTGTGTGCATGTTTCTAGCCATTGGAGCACCACCAATGGTGGCACCCAACAAACTACATCCTGCAATTTGGTGTATTTTCATGGCACCTTATTTCTTTCTTGAGCTAAAGATATATGGGCAGTGGCTGTCTGGGGGGAAAAGGCGATTGTGTAAAGTAGCTAATCCATCTTCCCATCTGTCTGTAGTTGGAAATTTTGTTGGGGCAATTTTAGCTGCCAAGGTTGGATGGAAAGAAGCTGGAAAATTCTTGTGGGCAGTTGGGTTTGCACATTACCTTGTGGTGTTTGTAACTTTGTATCAAAGATTGCCAACTAGTGAGGCATTGCCTAAGGAGTTACACCCAGTTTACTCCATGTTCATTGCAGCCCCATCAGCTGCAAGCATTGCTTGGGACACTATTTATGGTGAGTTTGATGGACTGTCAAGAACTTGCTACTTCACTGCCTTGTTTCTCTATATATCTTTGGTGGTCCGGATCAACTTCTTCACAGGTTTCAGGTCAGTCAACATTTGTTCTTAACCATAGTACACACATTTATGTTTCTAATGACAAATTATGTACTAATGATATACGGTTTGGTCATTACTTACAGGTTCTCTGTGGCATGGTGGTCATACACCTTCCCCATGACAACTGCATCAGTAGCAACAATAAAGTATGCAGAGCATGTTCCTTGTTTCTTAAGCAAAGGTCTTGCCCTAAGTCTGTCATTCATGTCTTCAACAATGGTTTCTGTATTGTTCATCTCCACTCTTCTTCATGCTTTTGTTTGGAAGACATTGTTCCCCAATGATCTTGCAATTGCCATTAGTACTGAGAGACGACATGTCAAGGACAAGAGGCCTTTTAAAAGAGCTTACGACATAAAACGTTGGACAAAACAGGCTCTCACGAAAACTAATTTTGCAACTACCAACAAAGATTTTCGTGGGACAAAATGATGTAGGCTATGAAGCCATTTTATAAAAATGGTAGAATTTTTTTAGATTTTTTATATTAGTATATGTAGTTATATAATTGTAACATCCTCGTTATCCCATAATTATGACTTTTTGATGATGACAAATCTCACTTTACTCTTTAAGGCAAGTATATAAGAATTATAAATAAGTGTTGGATGTATTAGGATTACACGTTTAATCTACATTGAACTCCAAACTTATTGTTCATATATTGCCTTTTGTTCAATTCTCCTTTTCGTTGAATTCTATAATTCAACTTATAAATAATATTTAGTTCTGACTTTTATAATAAACTTATTATGAATAAAGAATATCATATGTTGCTTTAGAATTATTAATATTTATCTTGAAATTCATTGTAATGGTATTTTAATTATTATTTTTGAAGAATCATATTGAATTTCAATATTAGTGAAAATAGATAGATCAGATATTATAAATTATATTTCAATTATACAAGTATTAAGAAAAATATAAAAATTAAACTTATAAATGGACTAAAAATTAAAGAGAATTTTTAACCAAGTGCAACCTAAATGCATGGCTCCCACTCCATCTACATCTTTATAGTTTTTGGCAATCATGTCTGTCAACCTGAATCAAATTGTTGTAAGCACCGTTCCACGTTTGCCTGGTAATTCTACAAGTATCTTTGACCTACTAAGAAGTAAATGATTTTAGTCTTTATGCAGAAGATATCACTAATAAATCTTCCAAATATGTAATAATTTCCTATCTTTTCTTAATTATTTTTTCTCACAAAACTTATATGTCACAAATTAATCAAAAGTAAATAATATTTAAGATAACATTATTATTTATATTAATATCGTTTTACAACGTTGAAAGCTAATAAAAGCTCAAAAATCAGATATCTTTTATAATTGATTAGAAGCATCATAATTTTTACTATTTATATCATTCTCTTACTCAAGTAAGTCAGTGAACTTTATTAAACACCTCAGCATGAGTCTTTAACTCAAAACCGATCACATACTTGATCTCAAGTGATCCTCTTGAAACAGTCAAGAAGCATTTGACTCATTCATTGGTTCTTGCCACCAACTTTTAGCCCAAATCTGTATTTAGCATTGATGGAATCACTAACCCTGCAGTTGTAGAAGCTAATTCTGTAAGGGAAGAGATAGCAAAAGCAATTAAGAATCCATTTGATGAACTTGATCATTGAATCTGATTTCATTAATGTCATAAATTGTATGTAATTAGTTTCTACCGATGAGGCAGATGAGAGGGTTGCTTCCATGCTAAGAAATGGTAAGATTTCTCTCAAGGTATCTTATATTTCTGCATAGTGTAATAAATTAGGGTTTCCTCGATTATATTTACTGCAGGAGCTCCGCATATCTCCTTTCCAGAGAACATCAGGAGTTTAAACTTACATTTGTCATCTCATGAAGCGTCAGTGCGACAAAAGAGAAAAAGAACCAGGGAGATGGTATTACTATGAGAATGCCCTCATTGCTGTACAACACCGGCTTTGTAACATTTTATTTGGGTAATGGACTAAGCCTTCGAACTGTGAGAGTATTCAATGTCAACCTATAAGATGAGTTTTTTCAAAGGTTAAATGTTGATTTCTAAAGATGACTTCCACAATTTCCATATACAGAAAACATATGCTCAAGCTGTCCTCTTCTTGTATCATCGGATGCCCAAGCTCCTGCCACAATATCAAATGTTCATTGTCGACACTGATGTTCAGAAGACAGAGGAGAAAGAAAGATTTTGAATCAATTAAATCATATGTCCACTGGCATACCTCCGTGCACTCCACTGCGCACCAACTCCTGCATTGTCATTCCCTACATTAATCCGGTTTCCACCTTGTGTTTCTTTCTCACTCGTTACCTTCAATAGGATGAAAAAGTTAGGGGACTAAGATGATTGCCAAATAACTTCTCAAAAGATGTTAGACTGGGCTTCCAAAGGATGTATGAAATTTACCTCATGCCCTGCTTGGAAAGAATTCAATATGTTTTCTTTTGAGCCCTTATGCCAAGGAAAATTGATTAACTCAATATGCTACTAAGCAAAATTCAAATCAAAATTAACAGTACAACATGGTGTTATCCAGACTTAAAAAGCTATAAGTGAACTTTGGAGGTGAACCTTCATAGATATACAGGCAGGTCGAGACAATTTCAACTGAGGTCCATTATTTGGCTGGACCTGAGATGTCAGGGACAGCTAGCATCCAACACAGAAAAATGAAAAACCACATAAATATCAAGCATTAAACTTCATCAAGTAGATCAAAACATTGGAATCTGATTTTGAGGATAGGAAACGGCATTTAGATGAGTTCAGAGATTTACCTTACTGAAAAGGTCTATTGGCAGATTTTGATTAACCCTCTTTTCAGTGTGGAAATTAAATTCCTGTATCATAATCCAAAAAGGTACAATATTAGAAAAAGCCTCCAGCAAGCAATCCACAGGCATAAAATGTGGACTAAGAGTGTATAGGGACTACCACAGGCACTGTTGTTTCTCTCTTGCTATTCCGGAAAATGCCGATATCTCCTTTACTTGTAAGTATCTGTAGACAGACTAGTTAACATATTACCTGCTGCTAGCTAAGATTTCAAGAAAGTAATTTACAAACGAAAAAAAAAATACCTTCTTATTAAGAGGACGTGCTTTAAAGTTGTATTTTACATAACAGCTATCTTGGTGTGAGGCATCTACAGCAGTTGGTCTGAAGAAATGAAAAATTAGAGCGAGCACCACTTTCTTGTTTACAGAATACCATGTAAATCAAGAGTTCCCCTTTTATTAGATCTGAATCATACAAAAAAAAAACTCTCAAGCCATACCTCCTGTTTTCTCTGCTTCCCTTGTCCACAACAGAAGTATTAGAAGGTCTCTCTGATCCCTGGCAATGAAAACACTTGTATTTCAACAGAGCAACTAGCACACAATAATAACCATTACTGTAAGAATGCAAGCCTACACAAACTCTCATGCCTATACCAATTTAAATCAGAGATTTAGAAATGACAAAAGAAGACTGAGGTAATTTGCTACTGATAACTAGTCAATGAACTTGATGAGTAAACCTTATCAAAAGCATTGAGTGAAGATGACGAAACAGCAGATGAGTGTTGCATAGCCCTCTCTGAGGTCTTTAGGTGAAATTCCTGAAAACAATGTAACAGAAATCTGAGTTGCACATTGTATGCTGGAGACTAGTTTCCTAGAGGTTATTTGTTACAAGAATGTATTCAAAAATAGTGTCAAGTACTTACTTGAAATTCTGGCAATCTTGGGGTGCTCTTCTTTGGGAGTGGCAATGAAGGAGCCTCAAGAATCTATACGACAGTTATATAATTAACATGGGTAAAGGAGGGAAAAGAGCTTTATAAAATTCATTTTATCAATCACAAGCACCAACTTTTCGGTTCAGTGGGCGTGCTTTAAATCTGCGGGCAGCTGGCGGCAAACTTACTAATTCTGTAGCATCCTTGGACCTAAAATTGTGCACTAATTATTCAGAAAGAATCTTCACTTTATCAACATATTATCAGAATGGCAACCAGAAACCAACCTTATCCTGTGTGACCTTTGTGCTGTTTCAAGGTCAGGCTCTCTTGGAACGGTGATCTTCATCCTCGCCAGCATGGAAGTTTTATCGACTGTTACATCCTACAAAACCACCAAGAATTGTTTTGGTTTAGTTGTCCAATTTTTTCATGGTTTTGCCTAAGTTGGAGTAGTGTTACTATTAACTGTTATGTTAAAGAAGAATGGTTTAAAAAAAATTTATAGATAAATTTATGAAAATTAATATGTATTATCTAATTAGTTCTTATTTATTAGTTAGATATAAGATCTATAGTTCTATCAAGAGGCTTCAACCATCCTGACGTTCATCCACTGCCATCTCTCGATGACAGTGTATTTACCAACTTGATGTCCAGAACACATTTCTTCATGGCATTCTCAAGGCAGATGTATAATGAAGTAGCCGCATGGTTTTGAAAATTCATACCATCCTTCATATGTTTGCAAACTCAATAAAGCAATTTATTGCATTCAACAAACCACAAGCTAGCTAGATTTCCAAGTTCTACACATTTTCTACTACTCAAGGCTTCACCTCAAGTAGTGAATACAGCTCCATGTTTACTTACAGGCATTGCTCTTATCTAAAGCATTGTATATGTTGATAATATAATTCTAACTACTTATGTGGGTGTTGTCATTGACAACTTGATGACAGTGTCATCTCTCGATGATAGTACATTCACCAACTCGATGTCCAGAACACCTTTCTTCACGGCATTCTCAAGGCAATTTATTGCATTAAACAAACCACAAGCTAGCTAGATTTCCAAGTTCTACACCTTTTCTTCTACTCAAGACTTCACCTCAAGTAGTCAAGCCAGCTCCATCTTTCCTTACAAGCATTGCTCTTATATAGCTAAAACATTGTATATGTTGATAATATCATTCCAACTACTTATATGGGTGTTGCCATTGACAACTTGATGACAGTGTATTCACAAACTTGATGACAATGTCATCTCTCGATGACAGTGTATTCACAATCTTGATGAAGCAGCCGCATGGTTTTGAAAATTCATACCATCCTTCATACGTTTGCAAACTCAATAAACCAATTTATTGCATTAAACAAACCACAAGCTAGCTAGATTTCCAAGTTCTACGCCTTTTCTTCTAGTCAAGGCTTCACCTCAAGTAGTGAAGACAGCTCCATCTTTCCTTACACGCATTGCTCTTATATAGCTAAAACATTGTATATGTTGATAATATCATTCCAACTACTTATATGGGTGTTGTCATTGACAACTTGAGGACCAAGAACTGGTAACAAACCTTTTTTGGGACCTTGTGGACAAAAGTGACTTGCTGCTTTGCATCAGCAACCTGCCATTTGGATCAAAATTTTCAAGATGTCATTAGAGTTAAAAGTTATATATATACATACTCTGCAGTTCAACATCTATTTAGGACTTGCATAAATTAAAGCATAACAAAAATATGAATTCCTGAATTAACAGGTTAGCCTGCTTGCACCATTATCAAAATCCTTTCATCAGTTACAGATTGTTTATCAGGCAACCCAACATGGTTAGTGCACATACTCAGTGATGACTCTTCATGTTAAGACGAAGCCAGAGGAAAAAGGGAAGAATCTAATGTAACAAATTTACCTTACAGAGAACACCTCCCTCTAGCTTCTGCCTTTTGGCCGCTTGACTTTCAGCTGTAGATGAATTGCACAAACTTCTTTCCCCGTTTTGAGCCAGAAGAGTCTGAAATCTAAAAAACCAGAATAAAAAGATAGCGAATTAATAGGGACTGCATAGAAAGACGAGCTCTCAGATTCCATTATAATCTTAATACGGGACTCCCCTCAAATCAAGATGTTCGTAATACAGACATCAGTCATAATTTCAGCCTCTAGAGAACTAATTTATTGCATCCAGTAATCAACAAATCTGCAAGAGCAGTTAATCTGCAAAATATTGTGCAAAAGGAACTGAGAAGAAGAACTGGCCCTTATGATGACACAAATAATTCTGCCACTTCTGTTTGCACACCTGAGTGAAGCCCCAAGTGTATGCTTTCCACTTTTCTTTGTTACACAAGATATGGGGGAAAATTTGATCTTTTGAAGCATCCTTCAACAGAATGTTTTCAAATCACTTAAACAATTAAAATAAATAAAGCATTTCCTATTAGAAATGGGAAAATGAATTAAAACAAGAAAAAGTCGAGTAGACATTTCTTTTTTTCTAACAATGTAGGAATCCCAAAGGAAAAAAGAATTGCAGAAAGTGAATCCCCATGGATGTCCGCCATCTATGGGGAAAAAAAAGATGGCTTCAAGACATTTCAAGATGAAAATTTTAAAGATAATTTGATGAGACATGGAAATTTTCAAACACTTACCTCTCCAGGAATGTATCTAAAATTCTGTTATCTTTACAAAACATTTGCAAGATACAGAAACAAGAAAAATAACATAAAAGCACTCATCAAGAATCACCTGGAATGATTTTGTTTGGCCAATTGACTTGCTGTTGGTTTCATCAAAGTTGAGCTCCTAGTTAAAAATGTCTTGGCACCAGACTTCGATTTACCATTCAGTTTATTATGTGGAATGTTACTGATACATGTCAATCCTGCCAAACAAAGAGCAAGACTGTGAACAGATCAGCTCATAATAGCTTAAATAATGAGAATGGTAACAGAATAAGAGTTAAACAACCACAGATGCACTTTAGTGATGTGTTTAAACCACAGATGCACTTTAGTAATGTGTTTAAACAGAATTATTATATACAGTTGATTCAATTCACAAACAAGTATAACAACAGAGGTACATCTGAAACCTTCAAACAGATAATAAGTTTTAAAACTACTGACAGGACCAGCCATGAATACATGAATTTCACATGTGGAAAATTGATCACCTCTACTTGATTCTGCAGGCTGATTCAGGACCTTCTGCAAATTGCCACTCTGTAAGTTGGTGAATATCCCTCTATGCATTCCACAGTCTGGAATAAAATACAGCATTTTATAAAAAATAAAGCACACAACAGGATTCACTTTCAGATTCAACTTCGAACAATTAAATGAAAATTTTGGCTTAAATATGTTCCACAAAAGTACCAATAAAGATTATGTCATGAAGCTTGCTTAGTCTTTTCTTAACATCCAGACTGAGCATCAACATAAAATAATATAATACAGAAAGAATTGAAGACAGAACAGAAATGGAGACAGCATAGAAGTGACAGGGAGGTATCAGAGAGAGAGAGAGAGAGAGGAATTCAGATCCCTTATTCCTTTATGCTTAGAGACCAACATAGCAGGTATTTATCCTGTTTTGGGTTACAGTTCCACAAATGATTTAACAACCCCCACCCCCAAAACAAACATAGGTTTGGTCATAAAACAGTCAGCAACCAGCTAACTTCTGCAAGAAAGAAAATTAAGAAATGGGGATTTTGAAACATAAAGCACACGTATCTCATGTTCTGAAGTGCGCACAACTCTTCAAGATAAGTGATTCTATCATGAGGTTTTTATGGCAGTAATTTTTTCATGAAAGGTTTGGAGGTCAAGAAAATTGGAAATTGGAGGTGTTGCTAAACTGTATACAGTTTGTTTCATAAAGGTGACCACAAGATTCACAATGTAAACAGTTTTTTAGATATATATATGAACATTGCATATCAGATTTCTACACAAGATAGCCGGCAGAATAGAGTAGAAAGACTAAATTATACCTCTGTTACTACCATCTCTATGAGAAAATTCTGCGCTTAAGCCTCTAACGTTTCCATCATTGAGCAATGCAGTTGTCTCCTGCCCGTCTTTTGACTCTGGAGAGGTCTTGATATTTCCAAGGGAAACATCTTCTCTCAGAAACAACTTTGCTACAAATGCTGAAGAAGGAAAACAAGAAGAAAAGAGTAGGATGTCACTTATAGAACTATTCTATAATTCATCCTAATCACTAAAGAACCATCATCATTACATCAATAGTTAAAAGCAACATCAATCAGATAATTCAATCCGCGAACAAAACCCCAGATATTAAATAAATTTAACAACTTCAGTATGGTCCCTATGATGTGACCACAAACCCACCATCTCCGGAAAAAGAAAGAAAAGAAAAAGATAAAAGGTCACAATTTATAAAAGAAATAAAATAGGGGAAAAGGATGTCACATAGAACTGTAATCAAAAAACAGATCATGTAGACAAAAGTACCCAAAGCTCCATCAATACACCAATCAACGGAAGCAAATTACATAAGAGCTCCTAATTTTAGAACAAAAAGGGAAAATGTTTACGTCAATCAATTGAGAGCCCGGGAATAAAGGTAAAAAAACAATAAGATAGGATAAAAAAAAACATTTAAAAATAGATAACAACATAGTTATTTAACATGAAAGAGAAAGCGTATAACTATCCATCTAAGCTCTCTATCGCTGAAATCCTTCCATTCGATCATCAAGCGAAAATGACAGTATCCAAATGAGAGTGAAAACAAAACCGAAAGACTAAAAGAAGGAAGAGATTTAAGGCTCGAACTAGCAAGAGACTCACGAGACGGCGGATAACTTTTGGCGGATTCGAACCAGAGCTCGGCTTCGCGAGCTTCGGCCGGAGACTCCGCCCGCTTGAGATCGAACCACCCAACAGCGTCAAACTCGTAGTCCAGATCAATTTCTCGCACCTCAAAAACTGGCTCTATCTCCATTTCTTCCTCCATCGTCACCCTCTCTCTAATCTCTCCAAAATGCCAAGTCTGCGACAACCACTGTAGCTTCACATGACAGAACAAGAACCAAACAGCATCATTGCTCCCTCCCCTTCCCCTTCTCTGTCTCTCCCTAAAATATTATATACACACTTGCGCAGTGAATGTATATACCCGAACCTGATTGGCTAAAACCCTAACTCTTGAAATGCGAGGTTGGGTTTTTGGAAAGACAGATTTTTCAATATTGAGCTTTCGCTGTTTCGACAAATGGAAATCAATACTGTACGCTCTATATGGCAGTGTTTACTTTCCATAAACAAAAGCAAAGAAACGAAACGTACAACAGCAACTACACGAGGTACAAGTGGCCGAAGCAGGCCTTGGATTTTGTCTTAGCCAGAGGTTTTTCTGGCTTTTTTTGAGGTGGTCTTGTAACGATCCCAAATTTGAATTTAATGACTCTGGAAAATAATTAATTAGAAAATTCAATGACGCTTTTACCCTAACTGAGTTAATGAAATGGCGGGTTCTGGGCTTTGGTTAGGGTTTGAAATTTGAATTGGGAAGTGGACAAAGAAGTAATTTTAGGAATCGAGGGGTTGTCTTAGAAGAAAGGGGCCAGTGATTATTGGGGTCCGAGCGGAGTTTCGGGTGGCGAGATCCTGTCGACGACTCTGAAATTTCGGCGCCAGTGAAGTTTGCCCTCGGAGTTTCTAGATATTACGATATTGCCCCTAACAGTTTTATTCGTTTGTCAGGCAGGTGGAGGGACCCCCCCACCCCGCTTGGGTGCAAAATTCAAATGTTGGGAATCAGACGGTGAGGGGTGATGATGAGAATTTCATAATCACCAATAAGACACAGTCGTTTTTGCCATTTGTCATTATTAATGTTTCAATTAAGGTTAACATGGGTCCTCATTATGTGGCGGATGGTGTTACTTAATCATTAAGACAAACTTATTATATTTTTCACAAAAGGGGTCTGATTTTTTTACTAGTTATATATATATTTTTTAACTCTGAAAAAGTGGATTGACCCATAAAAAAAAAATATAGAACAGAAGTGAAAATATATGTTTTAACAAAACATTATCAAATTAATTTTGTTTAAAAGAAAATGTACATTGTTTTTAGGCGCATTTGGTTTACAGTTACAAAATTTTGAGAAAAGGGTACAAATTTTTTTATAAAAAGGGTAGAAGGAGAATGTTAAATTTGTCTTACTCAGAGAAAGTATGATGAGTGGGTGAACTCTCGTATTCAATCATGGTGGGAATTCGAATGGGAGCCTTTTGTGTTGTCTCTTTTGAAAGGAATGTGTATAATCTAAAAAGGGTTATAAATAAATGTGGTGCTTTACGAAAAACCCTTTTGGAGAAATTTGAAATCTAAGTTTTGATTGATACACATTTACTTGGAATGAGAAAAACATACACTTGGTAGGTGCACATTTCCGATGCTTTAAATTTTTGCTCAGTATGCATGTATTGTGACTGTGCTCATTGAATGTGTTCATAGGATTCTCATGACCCATCATTGCAGAATAACCTATTCCTTTTGTTTTTAATTTAAAAATAAAATATTTGTTATATAAATTTTCAATTAATTGTTCATTGGAAATTCTAGTTTTATTGACAATAGATTATAGTATTTTTTATAAGAAAATACTATTTCTCTTCTTTTAATTTTAATTTTAATTTTATGATACATTTTTTAAAATAATTTATAAAAATATAATTTCGGAGATAATAGAAAGAAATTCAAATTTGCCTGTGCATTATTTTTCCATTCAAATACAACCTAAATTTTTAATTTTTGTTTCAATATATCCTTATCATTGTAGTATTTTTAACATTTAAATAAATGTTTACATGATAAATAATGTATCCGCGTAGATATTATATTTTAAAAATATTGTTAACGTGACAATCACGTGGTCACCCCACTCGCAACCACTCCTTCTCTTTCTTTTTTTTTTTTCCTTTAAACATCAACAAGAAAACATAATATTAAAGGAAAATCTCAATATCAATGTCACCTATCTTAAAATAAACTACAAAACATACTAATGATATTTTTAAAACTTGATGTCAACGTGGATACACCTTCTATTATATGAGTAAATGTGTAAATGTATTAAATGTGATATTAATGATAATACTCTATTCGAACAAAATTTTTGAAAATATAAATTGTATTTAAACCAAAAAAATAATAAAGGGGTTGATTTGAGTTTTCATAAATAGTTTTATTTATTTAAAACTACAATATGATAGTTACCACTGTAACTAAGTATTAATAAAATGAAAGACTTTACAGTCATAACTGGGAGAGAACAAAAGTCTAATCTTTTTTGTATCTATCATAACTCGTGTATACGTGTTTGTCGTATGTGGGATTTTTACTTGGTAAGTTTGGTGGAAAAGGCAAAGAAGAGATTTGGTAGGGGATGTTTTTGTCTTCAAATACAAAGTGAAGGGCTCATTAAAGACCAAATTACACATGGCCAGATTCTTTTTCAGGTATTCCTATGGCCTTCATTCATAATATAATTAGAACATTAAATCATATATTTTACACATTTAATAAAAAAAACATAGTTCAAAAATACTTAAGAGTTAATGTGGCTAAAAATTAGAAGGCACATTATTTTTCTTTATGGACAAGTGTCCACTTATGTACGGGGTCCAATATCAATATGTTATTGAAATAATTATTAGTTAAAAATGTCGATTATAAATTTTTAGAATAAATTTTTAAAATTTAAAAATATAAAGTAATTTAAATTACGTCTTAAAAACTTTAAAATATTTAAATATATAAATGAATTAATTTAAATTTTTAATCTTAAGAGATGTTTCAATGTAAGCAAGAATAATTCTCCTAACTATTACTTTTTAAAGTAATTCAAGTTAATTTTTAAGAATAAAATTAAGTGAAAAACAAAACTAAAAGAAAAATCAAGATGAAATTAAATTGCTACTTGAAGTAAAATTATTTAATTAAAATTATCCTAAAATTTGAACTTATATTTAAAAAAAAATACTAATTATTTTATAGTTAAAAAAAGTAAAATTAAAACTATTTAATTAAAAATACTATTTATAGTACTTTAATTTTATCTAGAGACGTTTAATTAAAGAAATATCTTATACCATTCTATTAATTAAAAATATGTAAAAGAAAAGGAAAGAAAGAATAATTACAGAAAATAATAATAAATAAAAAACAAAAAATACAATAAAATAAAATTTATTTAAATAAGAATAGAGTAGATATGTGCATGTATATATATTTAAAACTCTGAACGAAAAGCTTTATTTTCAAAACCTTCCAAGGAAGTTCTCATATGGATTGGGCTTTAGAAAAGCCTAGTCTTTAAACCTTCTTCCTTGGGCTAAGCATAAAAGAAAGCCCAACCCGAGCTATTTTTTCGCTCAAAATGTTGCCATTTTGAAAAAATCATTAAATCCTTCCACAAGACATTACCATTTTGGGGAAGAGGTTAATTTGACCCTTCCCTCTTTTCTTCTTCCTTCGAGATAAATGGTGAAAATAGGGGTTATGGTTTTATTTCTTTATTTTTCTTTTATAGGTGCAGATGGAGGACACAATGATGAGGGGAAAACAATTATGGATGATTGATGATTCAGTAAGATGCAATTATGAAGCAGGAGCAACGGAGATAGAGGAAGATGATGATGTGAAGAAAAAGTGGAGGTAAGTGACGCGACCAGAGATCAGAGCGTGGCGATCACTTGTTCATCTTCACACTCTAGTCATCTAATAGTGACGTTGTGAGCATCTTCAGCTTTGCAAATCACAAGACTATTACCTTTGTCGCAACTCACACTCAATGATGACACTTAAGCATTTTCAACTTCCTAAATTGCAGGCTATCGACACGGTAAGGTAGAAGAAATGTGCTTATTTTTAATAGATAAATTAATAGTTAGAATTGGAAAAAAAAAATTTGGTTGGTTAAATGTGAAGCAACTTAGACTCCTATCTTATCTCTAAAAATACATCTAAGATTGGATCGAGATGTAAAGACCCGAAACCTTAAGGGAAATAATATATTAAAATAGCGAAAGTAAATAATAATTAGAACTTATATTTCTTACACAGTAAGTTGGGATGTTCAATAGGGGTACGGAAATATCCCTATAAAAAAAGTTAAAATAATATAAACATAAATAAAATTAAAATCCTATAGAGTTAACCTCCACTAGCAACTTTGATGGAGTCCAGGATGTAACATTTACTCGCAACCCTCCTGCTATTCAAGATCTGGATATCGGTTTTCTTGATCTGAAATAGTTAAATAGAGGATAAGCTACATATCACAATAAGAATATTAATGTAAATGTCAAAAACTTAAAAGGAAATAAAGTCATAAACTGAATACAAAAGCGAAATAGTAAAGTTAGGATTTACATTCCTTACACAATAATTTAGAATACCCAATTGGGTTATAAGAATGTCTATTTTAAAAGAACAAATGAAAATCAAAGAAATAAACGAAAAGTAAAGAACTGAGCATCCTAGGATGACCTTCACTACTTTTTGAAGGAAATCTGGGTGGTAAACTATTCACAACCCTTTTATTGATCGGAATTTGGATATTGGTCCTCTTGATCTGAAATAGTTAATGAAAGAGTGAGCTACATTAGCCTAGTAAGAATATCACACTACTCACCGATACAGAAACTGAAGGTTGGTAAAAATCATAAAAATAACCAATTGAGCTCTTAAATTACATAAATTTATTTATTGTATACTTACCGTTGCGGGATCTTTAAAACTAACATATAAAGACAATAACTCTAATAACATCATAATCTCATATTCAAATGAGTAAGGACAATAACTTTTCTTTTTTATTTGCTTATTGGTATCCTTGGGGGTCTATAGGGATGTCGTACTACGCATGAAGATATATATAAACTTGTCAACTAACCAGTCGTTCCCATACCCCGTCTGGTATAAGCGCCAAAATATTATTCTTCGATACCTCATCCGGTATGAGGATGAGTCGAGCCATCCCTATACCCCGTCCGGTTTGAGGATGAGTTGGACCGTCCCCATACCCTGTTCGGTATGAGCGCCACAGATACCATCCCTCAATACCCTGTCTGCTATGAGACAATATTAACGATAAGATTTCCTATGTACCCGGTCCGTCCACCATCTCCCAGGATATCCAATAAGATAACAATTCATTAATTCTCTTAACCAAACAATTTTTCCGTTTACATATTAATTTTCAGTTTTACAACTTAACTGTAAATCACACAAGATAAACAATACGTGCATCAAGGAAGCACAACTGAATCATTTAATCATTCCAGTATATCATCATGCATTTAAAGCTATAAAATCAAACAATCAGTTAAACTAGACAAACAATAAATAACTAACCAGTTCTGACTCTATCAGTAACCTGTAATTATTCTCAAAGTTTTCTAAATTACACAAAATATCATATTATCAATTATTAAGTTTTAATTTCATAACAAAAAATAGGTGAGAGATTCTTACTCGAATCGGTATTCAAAATATCGAATTTTCTACTACGCCTACTAGCGGTCTCCGAATTTTTTGAATATTTCTACGAGATTAAAATACGTTTCACGTACCTTAAAATACCCTAAAAATCTAAAATCAGTGTTAAATTCTTTTTCGGTCAATTTTGGGTTTCGGCACGGTGGCATTGCCGTGCTCCGATGACTGCACTGCCGCTCACGGTGGCAATTTGCCTCGACTTAGCTGTTTTTGGCCCTTTTTGGCTAGTTTTATACTTATCCCTACGAGAAAATATGTTAGGGGACCTCAGTTGGCCGAAAAAAATAAAAAATATAAATCTACTGGTGGTAGAATTTTTCGGTGTGGGGGCTCTGCCAGTTCACCTTCGCGACTGGACGTTTTTCTTCGGTTAACCTGTAGAAAATAGAACGGTGAATACAACAATAGAAAAATCGCATGAAACGAGAATCAGGAAGGGGCTTATCGAAGGCGATTGTGGGTTTTGCTCGCGGTGGCTCTACTAGTGGTTTCTGGCTCACTCGCTGTTTGTTTTGCTCCGATATGACCACAAGGGTGCTCAGAATCAAATTATGAGCAGGTAAGAGAATTTTTATCTTTTTTGGCAGTCGGAAGTGGCCCCAGTGCAGCGGCGGGCGAGGATCGGCTCCATTATTCAACGAGGGGCGGGGGGCAACGACTAGGGTTTAGATTCTGTGTAATGCGAAATATTTATACCCATTTTACATTAATTTGGTCCATTCATCGCATTTAATCTCAATCGTTCGATTGCGACTAAGGAGAAAATGAATTTGTAGCGTTCATCGCGTTTGATCTCGACCATTTAATCACGCCTAAAGAGAAAATAAATTTGGATTATTCATCGTGTTTGATCACGACGTCTGATTGCGCCTGATGATGGAACGGATCCGGCCCGTTCGATCGCAGGGCATGCAGATCATCAGCGTGGCCTCCCGCGTGGCATCAAGTCAGCGTGTCTTGCCATGCGGCGCACTTTGGTTCGTTGAGCCTGCTGACTAGGAGGTTCTACGTGGCAAAATTTTTTAAAATTATATTCTAACTCCCAGTTTTTTATTTTTCTTTCAAAAACACCCACTGAACCCAATTTTTCATTCATTTTTATCAAAATTATTTTCAATCTCATCCTTAATTTATTTTTTTCCAAATAAAAAAAAAATTCATTAAATTAATTTATAAAATATATTTTATTTTATTTTTTATACATCTCTAAATTAAAAAAATTTATTTATGGTCAATTTTTCGAGACTGGATATGACAATCACACTAATCATATATACGAAAAATCGAAGGTTAGTAAAAATTGTAAAATAACGAATGGAGCCCTTAATTTAGGTAAATTTATGTAACATAAAGTCGTTTATTCCATACTTACCATTACGAGTTTCCAAATACGACCTATGAAGACAATAATTCAAATAATATTATGATTTCATGTACAAGTAAGCAAGAATAATAATTTTTCTTTTCATCTGCTTACTAATACCTCTGGGGGTCCATAGAGATATCCCCTTACGTGTGAACTTAATATCCAAAGTTGTCAATTAACCGATTGTCCTCATACCCCATCTGGTAATGGGTGTAAAAAATCATCGCCTCGATACCCCATCCGGTATAAGGGTGAACTATATCTCCAAAACTCTTCCGGTATGGGACTTCTCAACCTCGTGCGACTGAGGTAATGTTTACATTAGGGTTCTTTATATATAAGGTCCGTCCACCATTTTCTAAGGTACTTAGTAAGCCTTTCTTTACATAGATTCACAACATTAATCAATCACCAATTTTATATCAACATATCATATTTACAAATCAACAATAAGTCATGCAAAGAGACGGTATGTAGATCAAGAGAATATAATTGAGACATTTATTACAAAACGAACCAACAAATGAGGGCTATGTAGTTAGGTATACTAAATAATCGAGAAAATAATTAAAACTAGTAATTTAACACACACAATATAATAATACGCATTTTAGATAGTATAGGAGAAACTAAATAGTAAATTAAAACAAATATACACTGACCGATTCTGCTTCAACTAGTGACCTGTAATTAATTTTAAGATTTCCTAATTTTCACAAAACACATTATTATTGATTATTAAACTTCAATTTACCGTAATAAAGAAAATGGTGAGGGATTCTTATCAAGATTGGTGTTTCGAAATACCGTGCTATCTCCTACGCCTCCTGGTAGACCCCAGGTTTTCTAAATTTTTCATGTAAAAATTAAAATATTTGTCACGTACTCAAAAATACACCAAAAGATTAAAATCAGTGTTAAAAAAATCTTTTTCAACAAATTTAAGGGTTCCAACACAACAACTCTGGCTCCGCCATGCTCCGGCACTGGTTCTGCCGTGCTCTAATGCTGGCTCCATCGCCCACAGTAGTGGTTTGCTTCGGTCTGACCAGTTTTGGTCGGTTTTATACGTATCCCTGCGAAAAAATATGTTAGGGAGTCTCGGTTGGTCGAAAAAGTCAAAAAATTAAAACTTACCAGCGAGGAGGGTCTCTGGGTGCGGCACCTCTTAGGACCTCGAATTTTGGTCACAGCGGCTTAGCCGAGATTTGTCCACAATTTCTGGCTCACTCATCGATTCTTTGGCTCCGATATGGCCATAGAGAGGCTCAGGATTGAATTTTGAGTGAGAAAAGGGAAAAAAGTACTTGTTTTAGCGTCAGCGGTGGCTTCGGTGCGGCAGTGATGACAGTTAATTTCCTTTCTAGCTGCACTTCTTCTTGCTGTGGTTAGGGTTCCCTAGAACGCAATGCTTAAATACTCTCTTCGTGTCAATCTGGGCTGTTCGTGCGAGGACATGTGATCCTCTCCCATCCGTTTGATCCTTCTTATTCGGAAAATGAATATAGACCGCACAATTGAATTGAATCTGACCATTTAATCGTGCCTGAAGGAGAAATATATCTGAGACGTCTGTGCACAGGGAACGTGATCTGGAACGTCGGATTGCCAGACACGCAGATTGCTTGCGTGGCTTCCCGCGTGGTGCCGATATCAGCGAGTTTTGCCACACGGTGTGCTCTGATTCACCGTGGCTGGTGACTAAGCCATCCCATGTGGCCAATTTTTTTTTTTGTTTGTGATTTTAATCCATATTTTAAAGTTTTCTTTCAAAAACATTTATCTTATTCAAAATTTTATTTTTTAAAAAAAAATTATTTTGAATTTCGCCCATAATTTATTTTTTCTCAATAATTTAATAAAATTTAAATTAAAATAAAATTTTTAATTATTTATATTTATATTTTATAAAATAGGCCAAATTTTCGGAATCAGATATTACACGAGATTTGAGAATTTCATGTGCCAAATCAAGTCAAGATGAAATTTTTTGGTGCCTGTATTTTCTCAAATCAATATAGCATCAAATTTTCTTATTTTTCGAAAGAAAAAGTAGAGACGATGTATTGAAATATAAAATTAATAAAATAATTATTTATATCTTTTACAATTTTAAGATATAAAAAATTAATATAATAAGATACATAATGATTATCTATTTAATTTTAAATACAAAAATAAAGTTTAATTTTTATAATACATAATAATTTATCTATTTGAAATTTTCAAATATAAAAATTAAATTAAATTAAATTTTTATTTGACGTAATTGTGTAATTATATTTTGGCAATATTTTTAATTATGTCTTGTTATTTTCATTTACTAATTTTAGCTATCAATTGATTATTATATTTATCAAAGTATGCATTATTGTTGCTTGAATATTACTGGCTGATTATGGAATGCATTGAATAAATAATTAGAATTATAGACAATAAATATTAAAAAAGAAATAATTATTGATAAAATAAAATATAATTATAACAAAATCCATATTATAATTGCTCTGTTCTACTGGCGTTTCCAGGTTGTCACAACGCAGGAATTTTCAGGCTTTTACTAAAATATTTAATTATTTTTTATTGAAAATAAAAAACAAAAACGGGAGGGGCATTTCCGTAAATCCACTTTCTCCCTCTCAAAAAATCTCAAAATCCAATCTTCTTCTCCCCCCTCAAACAAGGAACGGCGCACAAAATGTATTTTAAATTATTAATGAAAAATTGAGAAAATGATAAACAAAATCAGAGGCTGTACACCCTCTTCTTCTTCTCCCTCGAAACTATCTCCTTCTGCGTCTCTTCTTCTCTGTGTTCTCAGGCAATTGCCAACCAAAAACCATTTATTCCAGCCCAAACCCGATCGTCCTTATGAGAATAAATTTACCGAGTGAGTAGTCTTCATGACTACACTGTAATGACCGGAACCGGATTCTCGCGGCTGCGGAGTCCCGAGCCCGACCCGGATACGAAACAAACAACAAGTGGAGCTGGAGGAGGAACAGCCATGAGAGTCATAGTCCCTTTACAAGGAGTGGCGCAAGGGAGAGGAGGGCTGGTGTTAGGCTCAGTTATCCCCTGCGCGCTATTTTACTTTCTCCAGTTCTATCTAAAACGGCACCGTAATGAACCCAAAGACCCCAACTCTCCTGCGTCCGAGAAGGCAACGGGTTCTCCCACCCAATCTCCATCCCAGTCGGCGGGCCAACTGACAGAGCTTCCTGGGTTGCCACGGTCTTTGTCTCGGCCGCTTCTGTCGCCGAGAACAGCGGGAGGACCCGTTTCCTTGTCTGGTCGGGCAAATAGTATATTGAAGTGTAGTGACTCTCCATACGATATTGGGTTGATACGGGTCGAGGAGGACCCATACGACGAGCTGGGTAATCCGGATGGTGTCATACAGCTGGGTTTAGCCGAGAACAAGGTTGGTTTTTTTTTTCTTTCTTTCTTTTTTTCTGTTGATTCTTTTTCTAATATATGTTTCGTAATTTTGACGGTTTTTGATTGATGGAGGACTTTTTGGTTTCTTATGAGTTTGGTTTTTGTAGTTGTCGTTGGATTTGGTTAAAGATTGGCTTGCGGAGAATGCTAGGGAAGCGATATTAGGTGGTGGAAGGAGAGAATTAAATGTTAACGCCATTGCTACTTATCGACCCTTTGATGGCTTGATGGATTTGAAAGTGGTAAGCTTTGTCACCTCTTTGTCTACCCATATGAACATTGATTAATGGATCATTTGCTTCCATTCTTGCTCTAGGTAGCTTATAGTCTATAGAGTATCTAGATTAAGATTCAAATTAGTTTTTTCCATTCATGGAGTTTTAATGGTGGCGGCTTGTTAAAATCTCAAAGTATATTGATAAAGTTAATATGTTTTTGGCGTATTGTTCGGTTTCATTCTTGATTTGAAAAGAGTATTTTGATTTGGGTGATTTTAGTTCTAGTATATAGATGAGAGATGCTATAAAATCCAGAGACATGACAGACTGCAAAACTGAAGTGCTGGAAAAACGAGGGCCTTTGAACTGAATGGGAATTGACTTTGCCTGACAAGTCTTTTCCACAAGAAAAGAATAGGAGAGGAAACAATGTAATAGAATTATTTGCCTTTTCATTTGGGTTAAGCAAAATCGCTTTGTTTTCTTTATTATCAGTATCACAATAATATAAAGTGAAAAGAAGTATCCTTAAAATGAAAATAGGTGTTGTTTTATCTTACTTCTCAAAATAAAACTGTCAACCCTATGGCATCGAGTTTGATTCAATGGGAGAATCAATCTTGAAGTGCTGACTTTTGATTGATTAAATTCGACGACTAATTGCTGTTAAGTACTATAATTTTTGGATTTCTTAGGAATCCAAAACTTAATTTTTTTGGGATGAAAATTAGGTTCCAAAAATTAATGCATATGTTCAACTTAGGCAAAAATTTAGTATCAAAATTGAAGACTAGTTTTGTGACAAATCATAGTTAGCCCATCAAGTTCTGGTATATATGTATTTGGAATTGGTTTGCTGAAAGTACAGCCTTTTGTGATCTTCCAGTGCTTTGCAGTTCTTGATAATATCATTGACAAAATAACATTCTTCACAGATGAATTTTGTCATCTTTATTGGATGTGGCAGCTAATACAGGCGTGCTTTCACTCTTAAGGACAATCATCTTTGTATATAATCAATTTTCCGTTGAAGCGTTTAACTCAATAACTCTAGTCCTGCAGGCTGTGGCAGGATTCATGTCTCAAGTCATGGAGAAAGCAGTTTCCTTCAAACCCTCACAATTAGTGTTAACAGCTGGTGCAACACCAGCAATTGAGATGCTTAGCTTTTGCTTAGCAGATGCTGGAAATGCATTTCTTGTTCCCACACCATATTACCCTAAGTAATCACTTTATTACCCTTCCAAGTTCTCATTTTTGTGACCAGCAATTCTATAAGAGAACTGAAGTTCTAAACACATTATTTGCAGTTTTGACAGGGATGTCAAGTGGCGAACTGGGATAGAGATTATTCATGTTCCTTGCCGAAGTGCAGACAATTTCAATATTAGTATAACAGCCCTTGATCGAGCATTTAGCCAAGCAAAGAAGCGTGGTCTAAAAGTGCGGGGGATTATAACTTCAAATCCATCAAATCCTGTTGGCAATCTTATGAATCGAGAAACAATTTACAGCCTTCTGGACTTTGCCAGAGAAAAGAACATCCACATAATCTCCAATGAAATATTTGCAGGGTCCACGCATGGGAATGAAGAATTTGTGAGCATGGCAGAAATTATTGAATCTGAAGATATTGACCGTGACAGAGTGCATATTGTATATGGTTTGTCAAATGATCTCTCTTCTCCAGGCTTCCGGGTGGGAGCTATCTATTCCTTGAATGAAAATGTTCTTGCTGCTGCTAGAAAACTTACAAGGTTCTCATCTATTTCAGCCCCAACACAGCAATTGCTTATATCTATGCTTTCCGATACTGAATTTGTTAAAAGGTTTATTGAGATTAACAGGGAAAGACTTGGAAGAATGTATGTACGATTTGTGGCAGGTTTGCAAGAACTGGGCATTGAGTGCACAAAGAGCAATGGGGGTTTCTACTGTTGGGCTGATATGCGTGGGTTTATTCCCTCGTATAGTGAGAAGGGGGAGCTTGAGCTTTGGAACAAATTGTTAAATGCAGCTAAAGTCAATGTGACACCTGGTTCTTGTTGTCACTGTATTGAACCTGGATGGTTTCGCTTCTGTTTTACTACATTGAAGGAAAAAGATATACCTGTGGTAATAGAACGGATTCGGACAGTTGTTGAAACATGTAAATCTCTAGGATGAAGTGCTGTTGATTTATTTTCATGGAATTAGATTACACATTTTTCCCTTGGAGGCTATTTAATGGTTGCTGCCTTGAAGCCCCATTCTGCAAGGACAAATTTCAGTACACAATCTTTACCATAATATTTATTAGGATTTGTACATATTTCAGAAGCTTTGAGGCTTGAAATTGGAGGTGAGTGGTAGCAACTTAGTTTAAGTGTAAAGAGTCCTCCCATATGCAACTTATTGGCCTCTCTTGTTTGTTTTTGCATTCGTATGCAATTTTGACAATTAGAGCATTTGTTTGTAAAAGATTAAAGACAGAATTATTTTTGATGTACTACTTGTGTTAAATATGAGGGCAATGCTATCTAAGTTGTGAATTCGTCGACATATGGCCGGCGCCCTGTGTAAGGAAAAGAAATGGGAATGAGAAATTTGATTTTGATGGGAAAAAGTACTCATTTTAATGAATACTAATCCAAGGAAGTGCAGCTTCGTTTAGAGATCTCCGTAGATGTAGTTTCTAGTTTACTTGCATGTTTAGCCAAGGACAGTTCAAGCCTGGTGTATATTTCTGAGTCCTTTACATTATACATCTATTGTCTTGATGTGGTTTAAAGATTCAAAAAGAATATAAGTCGTACAATTGCCTGTATATGATTTTGCAGGCATTCCAGGAAAATTTTCAATTTTACTCCTTCCATAATTGTTGGAAAATCTGATACAAATTAATGAATCATCTTATTCTAAAAATTACAAATTCTAAGAACAAATTAATAATGGCAATGCCAAAACAGATAGAAAAGAATGATTTTTCTGTTTTTTTTTTGGGCCTAGTGATAAAAAAGAAAGTTGTCTTCTCTACACAAAAAACCCTTCCCCTGTCTTCCTTCCCAACTATTAACACCATATCTCCGATCTTTTGGAAGAATAACTTGGTAATATCAACTCCTCAGGTGCTTCAATAACCCATTGTACACAAATTACCACTATGACTCCTGTCCAGATCTGATAGACTCAAGAACCTGAACAACCTCAGCCATGCTTGGTCTTCTTGTGGGAACCTCTGATGTACAAATTAACCCCAACTTTAATACCTGAATCAACTCATTCTCAGCAAAACCTTGTAGACGTCTATCGAAGCAATCTGAAGCCGAGTCTCTTTCCAACAATCTCCTAACATATTCACATAAAACTACCACCTCATTCGCAGTTGGACTCTCCACTGGCTTTCTCCCAGTAACCAGCTCTAAAAGAATCACTCCATAGCTATACACATCACATTTCTCGCTAATTCTCAAACTTTGAGCCAATTCTGGTGCCACATATCCAACAGCACTGTGGGATTTGGTTAAGCCATAGTTGTCCAAAATAGGGAGCAATTTGCCTAAGCCATAATCAGACAACTTTGGCTCATAGTTTTCATCTAAAAGTATGTTAGTTGATTTGATGTTGAGGTGAAGAATTGGAGGTCTACAATCATGGTGAAGGTAAGAAAGTGCAAGTGCTGTTCCAAGAGCAATCTGAAACCTCCTAGACCAATGTAGTTCACTATTGCCACCACCATAACTAGTACCCGGATAATCAAGTCCATGTAAATTATCATACAAATTTCCATTGGGAACAAACTCAGACAGAATTAGTTGCATTGTTGAGGACCAGTAGTAACCTTGAAATGCAACAAGATTCCTGTGTTGAATGTTACCCAGGCGTCCAATTTCATGCTCAAATTCATCTTGGTTTCTAATTCTTCCAAGTGTTTCAAGCTTCTTCACCGCAATTGAGATTCCTCCTTCAAAAGTTGTTCTGTAGACTGTTCCTATTGAGCCACCCCCAATTAGACACTCTTTATCTAACAAAGCTTTAGTGCCAGCCTCCCAATCTTCATATCTTGATGGTAAACTCTTGCTGAAAAGAACGAGCTTTCCGATTATAACATTTGATTCTTGGGAACCTGGTGGTGTGCTCTCAACAACCATTGACTCATCAGCTTTTCTTCTCTTTCTAGCCCGGATGTTCATGATAGTTACCACACAAACTCCAGTAAGGATCACTGCAGCAGCAACAATGACAACAATGACAGAAACACTCAGAACTTTTGTCTTTTTGGTTTCAGGGGTTGTGTCATTGCGCCTTCCTGAGCATGGTGTGTCAAGAGGAGCACCACAAAGCCCAGGGTTGTTTAAGAATGCTGATGCCCCAAAAGCCTGGAGGGTTGGTACAGAAGGAATGCTACCTGAAAGATTGTTGTGGGACAGATTAAAATGCCCCAGCATTTTCAAATTTCCAAGGGATGAAGGGATTGACCCGGAAAATGAATTGTTTGAAAGGTCGAGGTACTCGACTTCGGAAAGATCTCCCAAAGTAGATGGAATGCTTCCCTTGAGATTGTTTTCATGAAGATCAAGGACTTCAAGGTTAGTTAGATTGTATAAAGTCTGAGGAATTTCTCCCTCTAAGGCATTACCTGAAACATCCCTGCAGCAATCAATTAAAAAATTCATCAGATAAATAATCAAAATCAAGCTAGGACGAAAATTTAGAATGTTTCAAGATATGATTTGCACTCACAGCTCAAGAAGTATCCTGCAATTGCTTATTTCCTTTGGGATTTTGCCAAAAAGTTTAAGATTGTGCAAATTCAAAACCTCTAGCAGCTCCATAGAACCAATCTCGGCTGGGATAGTGCCGTGTAATGAATTATTACCTAATCTGATCACTGAAAGCCTCTCCAAACCAACAATCCCAGATGGGAAACTCCCATTCAGCCAATTGTACTCAAGGTCCAAAAGTTTAAGATTCTTGCAGTTTATAAGGCTAATGGGAATTTCCCCATTTAACACATTCCATGAAGCATCTAAAAACTCTGTTCTTTCACAACTTCCAAACTGACCTATCTCCCCTTGAAAACCATTATGTGACACATTGAAATATGTCATGTTCTTGAAACTAAGAACTCCAAATGGAGCCAATCCAGTGAACAAATTCCTGCTCAGATCTAAATGTGTTAATCTCTGGCATGTTACCATCTCTTCTTGCACACTGCCAGTTAACACATTGCCTCTCAAAGACACATACTCCAGTACAGGTATGTCACAAATTTTTGAAGGTAATCCACCACTGAGGTTATTATGAGAGAAATCAAAACCTTTAAGATTAGTACAATTCGCAATAGATACAGGAATTGAATCAGAAAGATGATTATGGGATAGAGAAACAAATTTGGTTTTGTAGCAAAACTTAAACAAAGCCAGTGGAATCTGTCCCATGTATCCATTCCTTGACAAATCAAGAAACCGAATGCTTGGTAAGTCACCAATGAACTCAGGGATAGAACCAATCAATGCATTTGAGCTCAAATTAATCTTCCACAATGTCTGCAACTGTGCATATTCTGGTGGGATGTTACCTGAAAACCGATTACCAAACAATGTCAAGACCCTTACAGACCTCAAACCAGATAAAGCCGGCGACAGAACTCCGGAGAGGCTTGTGTTCCACAAAACGATCTTGTCCACAAACCCATCTGGATTGCAAGTTACACCATTGAAATCTGAGCAAGGGTTTCCACTGGAGGTCCAAGAAACCAAGCTTTTGAAGGGATCGTCGGTGATGTTTCCTTTGAACTGGAGCAAGATTTCCTTTTCTGTAGCGGCCAGAGAAAGCGTGGTAACTGCAACAGAAGTGAAGAGGAGGATCAAGAAGAGAAGAGGAGCACGAGGAGGAGGAAGAAGAAGAAGAAATTGGTAAATCCTTCTCATGCTCGATAAACCGGATCTACCCGTTTGGCATTATTGGTTGTGGATCCAATATAGAAAAGATGATCCAGTTCCTGGCCTGGCTGCTGTTAACACTACGATTTTGCTCCGTCGTCAAGTTATCCAATCGCAAATCAAACATGAAAATCATGACCAAGTAGCAGCATTTTCTACTTCCATCTCCATTACCATTGAAGTGAAGCCCGGGAGCAATGTGAAAACACACAGACCCATTTACCCAATCAAGAGAAACAGGATCTGGGTTATTTTCTCTTTATCTGGGTACAAGAAATTTTAGCTTCTACCACCCAGATTTGCAGAGAGGAGGCACAGAAGTATGGCAAGAAATGAAAATGGAGAGAAGCAAGTGCCTTGGTTGAAAAGCAAGCAGCTAAGCAAATTTAATAAGAACCCTTTTTAGACGTCTCTCCATTTATCTGTACATCAATCTCTGGTTGCCACCAAGTGAAGATGAACCACGTGCATGCTACACACTCTCTCTATAAATGCGTACACAACTATATTTGTATATGTAAGACTGGTAATGTAAATTAAGGAAAAAAACCCATTTGTTAACTCACCAGCATGGTAGATGTAGGACCTGTGTGTGCTTGTCTGGACTGCAGGCATTTATTCTCTCTCACCAACCAAAATTAATTATTAACACCACAGCCATTAACTTAATAACCAGAGAGTAAGTGAAAAAAAAAAAAAAATAGAAAAAAGAGTTGAAAGAGAAACCAAGAGAAGATATTCTGAAACTCAAAAGAACAAACAACACTATGCCTTTTGATTTGTCCCATTGATTGTTTCTTTGTTTTTCTTTTCTTTTGGGTTCTTTTCTTTTGCATTGAAGTTTCTTGGTACATCTGTTTCGATTGGGACTTCGAGAAGACCCTCATCTGCTTCTTTATTGCTATTTAAGTAGATGCCAATTGCGGCCATCCCCATTTCTTTTTTTCTTCCCCTCATTTTTTAGACAATTATACTGTATTATAAAGAAGAAAAACTCCAAAATTTAAAAGGAAAAAACAAAACATAGTTGTTGGACGGTAGTCAAAGGATTATCCATCCCTGACCAGCTGGATATCAGTATCCTTTAGACCTTACCAGCTCCTCTACGCAGATTAGATTTTTCCATCAAGGATTTAATTTTATTTCTTTCCTCCTTTTTAATTCTCTTTTATTCTTCAGTGTTTAATTTATTAACAATTAATATATTATTATCTTCACCCTTTGAGAGAATTTGGTTGCTTGTGTTTGACTACTAGTAGAAAGGGTCAACAAAAGTATACCAAAGATTTTTTGACCGTTGATTAAGGGCGCTCTTATTTTTTGGTACATTTATTTTATTTGTATTTTTTGGTAGAGACATTTAGCATAATTGTTCCCCAATAAAAGCAAAAAAATGATCCATGTATTTACACACAATAACACAGAGTTGGCATTTTCATTGCTGGTCCCCTATTGAAGAATCCCAGGCCCTTTTTTTTTTTTTTTAAACCTTTTTTACCTTTAAAAAAAAAAAAAATTCTTTTACACATTACCCATTTTCCCATATAGCAAGAACATATTATTTTCATGTATAAATTCTTAGATGTTGATCCTTACAATTTGAGAAAAAATGGGCTTCCTCTTCTTATTTTTTTAGCCATCGTCAGCTTCAATCCTCCTTCCAAAAAGCTTTAGACCTCTCATGCTACCTGCTGGTTTAAAATAATAATTTGGTTCTTTCACTATGTTTCTTACAAGAATATTGTACCAGGTTCTTGCACATGGCACTCTGTTTTTTTTAAAATTTTATTATAATTTCTTAACATATAATATAAAAACTATATGTATATATATATATATATATTTGTATTACCCCAATTCCTTTTATAGTGGTCAAAAAAATGAAATTTTAGTTATTTTACAGGAAAACTCCATATTCTCAATAGCTAAATTAATACAAAGTTTCAGAATAAATATACAATTTTTAATCGTTTAATGTTTTAGAATTCACAATGGTAACATGATAAGGAAAAAATACATTAGGTTTGCTATCATTACTCTGCCTTCAGGTTATACTATTCCTAGGGTGTATTTTGGGGGATCAATTGTCTCTTTTTGTTCTATCTAACAAGATACCCAAGCACCCATATCTAATATGGAGTTCTCTGAAAAAAGTATACGACTTTATATCTTATCAAATAAAAAAGTATTTTATTTTTATAAAAAATATGTCAGATATAAAACTATATATAAGTTCTTTTTCTTTCTGAGATATTTATACACACACACATATATATAGACATGTAAGTTCAAAAAGATTCATCATCTTATCAAATGCCAAGTATAGCTTACATATGCATAACCATTAAGATTTAATTTGAATGAATCTAACATTTTAAAGGTACATATAGATTTGTTATAATTCGATACAACATGGAGTTCTCTGAAAAATTTCCTTCAAGTCAAAAAGATTAAAGCATCAAATTGTCAACGAACAGAAGATTTAATGAGCGGCCTTTTTTCTAGTGGAAAGAAGAAATTGCAAGGAAATTTAGACCGTTGACCAATCTAAAAATAAAGAGAATTGGGCCATAGGGATGTGTTTCAAAAGCTGCTAGTTGGTCAATACAGAATTATTGTCAGGTAGGTAAGAGATCATTCTGCAATCTAACTTCACCCAAAATCAACGATGCTGCATCTCCCAAACGCTCCCTTTTAGCATTTAGACTTTCTTCAAATCTCTCCTTACAACAGACTAAACAGGCCAAGCTCATAAAAAAGTTTCAAGTGCTACAGGAATAATGGACATGGCAAGTTTAAGGAACCAACTTCCACTCCAGTGCTTCCCACTGTATGAGTTCGAAAGGATTCAATTCCCTGATCTAGAAACTCACAAATCATTACCACTGTCTCTGTTGATAAGAAAGATGACATCATCTTCAGCCAAACACCCTTTTCTCTTCATGAATGTATGTTATCATCTATGGGCATATATACTACATGGCATGCAATTCTTTTTAAGAGTAATAGAAGATCTGTTGGTCAATAATCTGTACAGTTTACAGCAAGAATTTTGGCCCACTTCAATTGAATTTCTTCCAGGCAGAATTCCAATCATGTACATGTGATAATTCAGAGTTCAGAGTGTGTGTGTGTGTGTATGCCTGAGAGAGAGACAAGAAGACATTTTTCCGAGGAATAAAACTTCAGGTGTCTGCATGTCTTCCTGTGATCTTTTTGGGAGATGTGGATGAAGTTGTTTACTAAATAAGACCCCATCCACTCCATACAAAGTGTTCCAATATGCAAAAAACCTAGCTTATAGCCAAACCCAAACTAGAATTTACTGCAATAGTTCTTCTCCTTGCAACACTTTGAGCTGCCTTTTTGCATATACTGTAAAAAGAATCGTCGTAGCTACAGTGGCACAGAAACCAACAACATTCAAAACTATCTGAGGGGCTGAAATGGTATGCCGCTCATTCGAAGCATCTGCCAGTGTCTGTATCAGGATCCCACTGCAACAAGGCGACAGCATTTCACTAAAACAGACTTTTTTATAATGTCTATAATGCATCAAAAATGGAAGTGTTGTAAATAGAAAAAAGATCCCATGTGTTGAAAAGAAGAAAACAAAGAGGACAAATGCAGATGACATGTATACGAAGCAACCAGTTAACTTTGTGACTACTAGAGACAGGAAGCAAAATTGCAGCCAAAAAGTTCCCAGCATTCCCTTCAATGTACTCGCAATGAACTGAAAAATAGTAGTATAGTTAAGAACATAAACAGGAAAAACAAGCCATTCTTCGCTCGAAGTGAAAAAGCTCCAACATTTGTGTTTCAGGAAACTCTTCCTTTATAGGCCGTCATGTGACAACCACGCACACATTATTTCTCCCTGTGAGACTCAATCTGTAGAAAATATAATAATTAGAAGAATAAATTAAGATTAAAAATGGTTATTTACAACTGTTATGTGCTATAAATAGAGGGAATCACCAACAAATTTGTTACAACAAATTTGTCCTTAGAAACAAAATTTTGTTAAGTTTCTCTCCAGAATTTGTTAGGTTGTTAGGGTAGTAGACTTGTATATATATGTGTGAAAATCATTCATAAAAAAAATGAAGAATATTTTCTCTCAATTGTCTTCATGGTATCAGAGCAATACCTGATCCAAAAAAAAAAAAATTGATATCAAACCCTGCTGAGCCGTAATAAAAAATGACCTCGGGTGAGTTTCCATCCTCTCCACCAGAAATTTCCTCTGGTTCTTATCATCACACAGCAACAACCAGAGCTGTGAGTGAACTACCATCATCCTGTATCACAGGACATAAACTCGATGACAACAACTTCCTTCAATGGTCGTCGTCTGTCCATCTCTTCATCCGCGGAAGGGGGCGTTATGGGCACCTCATTGGCGAGCTCATGCCTCCTCCAGCGTCCGATGCAAATGCACAAACCTGGGAGATCGAAAACAGTACGGTCATGTCCTGGCTCATTACCTCAATGACTCCTGAAATCGGAGAGAATTTCCTTCTCTACAAAACTGCTCATGAAATCTGGAAGGCAGCACAGGAACTATACTCCAGCAAGCAAAATACCTCTGTAATATTCGAAATCGAGTCAACTCTTCATGACCTTCGACAAGGAGAACTCAGTGTCACTCAGTATTATAGTATCCTTGCACGGAATTGGCAGCAGATGGACGCCTTCGAAGAGCGTCACTGGAACTGCCCCGAGGACGCGAAAAACTTCAAAGTCTTTGTGGAAGAAAAGTGAGTCTCCAAATTCCTGCTAGGGCTAAACAAAAATCTCGACCCGATTCGGGGACGTGTTCTGAGCACCAAACCCTTGCCGAGTCTTCGAGAAGTTTTTTCTGAGGTTCGACGCGAGGAGAGTCGTCGGAAGATCATGATGGGAGAGAATGACCAACCTCACCAGACTGAAAATTCTTCAGCTCTCACAACCCGAGCGATTGACAGTCGAACGAAGAAGACAAGGCCCTGGTGCGACCACTGTCGGAAGCTAGGGCACACTCAGGAACGTTGTTGGAAGCTTCACGGCAAGCCAAGTGACTGGAAACCACCTTCGGGTAAGTGGAAAATGTCGAAAGCAGAGACCTCCAACAAGCTTCAAGAAAATCACGTGAAGGCTGAGGAAGTAATTTTTGATGAGATGGAAAAAAACCATTTACCCCTAAACAGTTGGAAGCCCTCCAACAAATCTTGTCCAAGAAATCTCACCTGGTCAGTGCCTCTGTGGCATACAAAGGTAATATTCATGGTTTATCTGCTCTTTTAGAAAAAGGACAGGTGTGGGCGTTAGACTCTGGAGCATCTGATCATATGAGTGACGATTTCTCAATGTTCCAAAATTACAGAAGATGTGAAGAAAATATTTCAATCAAAATTGCAGATGGTTCTCTTTCAAAAGTGGAATGGGCTCTGTAAATTTGTCTCCAAATTTGACTCTCTGTTCAGTTCTCCATGTTCCGAATTTGGATTGTAATCTGTTGTTTGTCAGCAAGTTATGTGAAGATTTGAAATGTGTTGCGAAATTTGTTTCTAATATGTGTAATTTTCAAGATTTGGATTCAGGGAGAACGATTGGCAGTGCTAGGATGAGCTCGGGATTATATTTGCTTCAAGTCAACACCTCTAAAAGACAAGCTCACAATACAGTATGTGAAAACTCTGTTCCTATTTTCAAAAATAATGACCGT